TTCTTCATCCGTAGAATCTGAGCTCTATAAGTGCAGGGACCTTATCCATCTTATTTACCCCTATCTAGACACTGGGGATATGACCAGTAAAATCACTCTTTATTGTACTCGTCTGGCAGAAATCCAACCCTGGCAAAATGTAATTCTCTAACTTTTTCCCACTTACCCAATAGTATCATGCTACTTGGCTTAATGATGATAAATCTCAAGTGATCGTCATTGCGGCTTGCCAACGTTACCGTGTTTCTCTAGTCAACTGACTGTCCGCTCCCCTCGCAATTATCCTCCTTAAACCTCTAAAACCTCCTTCTTTCTCTTCAAGCTCACCTTATGATGTTGCTTTTTTATTTCACCTGGACGGTAGCAACAACTGGGAGAGATCTTCCATGTGTTCTCACCACCACCTCTGTTTCTATCTGGTGCCTTCTGCTTGCTTTGGATGAGCTGTCTATGCCAATCCTGCTATGTGTATTCGATCCCTCCTTCTTTCACTCAGGGACATCACTCTTATTTGATCAGTTTTTCTCTTTACTGGATCATTCCTATCAGTATTCAACATGCTTGACTATCCCCTATCAGTTACAACTTCCAGTTTTCTGCTCCTTTTTTTCCCCTGCAAAACATTTTTTTCTTTCCTTTGGAGACAGGGTGTTTCTCTGGAGTGCAGTAGTGCGATTACAGCTCTCTGCCGGCTCGGTTTCCCAGACTCAGTCTCCCAAGTAGCTGGGACTATCGATGCATGCCACTATGCTTGACTAAATTACTGTATTTTTACAAAAATTTAGAGATGGGTTTTTGCCATGTTACTTGGGCTGGGTCTCGAACTCCTGGGCTCAAGTGATCCACTTGCCTCAGCCTCCCAAAATGCTGGGACTACAGGCATGAGCCATCACACCAAGCCAGCAAAACCCTTAAAAGAGGCATGAGACATCCTATCTTTCTTTCCTCCCATTGTAGTTTTCAATCCACTACAATCAGGCTTTTGACTCCACCAATACATAGAAATTGTTCTTGTCAAGATCATCAGTGACATCATACTACCTACTCTAATGGTTATTTCTCTACTCCACCTGCTGCATTTGACACAGACAACCGCGCTCTTCTTGAAATTGCTCTTCATTTGCCCTCAGGAATACCATGCTCTTAGCTCTCATTCTGTGCCATTGGCTACTCTTCCTAATCCTTCCTGCGGCTTCCTCCTTCTCTTCTCAACATCTAAATATTAGCTGTCCAAGTTGTAGTCTTTTACAGCTCCAGTCATCCCCTAGGGGGTCCCATCCAGACCCAAAGCTTCAGTCTCATCCTAAAATGATGACTTCCATTTTATACATTCAGTTCTAACCTCTTCTCTTAACGCCAGACTTGTTTATCCAACCATCTATTCACAATTCTACTCGGGTGTTGAATAACCATTTCATATTACCTTGTCCAAAAATGAATTTTTTTTTTCTTAGAACACTTTATGTTTCCCAAACCTTCTCATTCTCAATCTTCCTCTCTCCAGGCATCTTCATTCCACCGGTTGCTCGGCCCCCGTCACCGAAGCCATCTTTTGCTTTTCCATTTCTTCCAGATGCTCAATCAGTGAATCCTATCAGCTCTACCCTTTCAACATACCTAGTTTCAGATCACTACTCACCACTCCACTATCGCTATGCTGGCCCCAAAACTATCAACTCTTGCCCAGACTACTGCAATAGTTTCCAGACTGGCCTCCTTGTTTCCATCCTGCTCATCTATAGATCTTTTCATGCAGTATCCAGAGCACAACTTCTATGTGTCACCTCACTGGCAGACCTGGAGTGTCTCAGCTACCTTTCTCAGCTGTATTTTAGGTATACCTAAACAGTATAACAACAGTCTACTTAGCTTATAGCTAGGGCTCTATCATCCGGTATTCTGTGACAACAAATGTACTTGAAGTGAAAAATAATAAACAGGCTTGTATTTAAGTGGCAAGTGGTCGATATGGCTGCTGTAGCAGATAAGTCTACTGGTAGAATCTAGAGGGTAGGAAATAAATCAAACACGGAGAGTAAGATGCAAAAACCACTCATGAGCAGCCACATAGGACAGAGGTCCCACTGGAGAAGCCACCAAAGGATGTAAATCCTGTCTTCAGATTTGTTTTAACATCCAAGCAGGAGAGCTGCTGTACAAAATTACTATTGCCCCATTATGTGACTCCTTTACTTTTAGCACGAATCCTACCTGATTTTTATTTCTTTATTGCTTATCTCCTTCTTTTAAAATATATGCTCCATGACATTAGTGACCTCTATCATAACCACGTACTATGTGCCAAGCACATTTTCTTCTTCCTTTTTTTTTGTAGATGGAGTTTCACTCTTGTTGCCCAGGCAGGAGTGCAGTGCCGCGATCTTGGCTCACTGCAACCTCCACCTCCCGGATTCAGGCGATTCTCCTGCCTCAGACTCTCCAGTAGCTGGGATTACAGACATGCGCCACCATGCTCAGTTAATTTTGTAGTTTTAGTAGAGACAGGGTTTCTCCATGATGGTCAGGTTGGTCTCACACTCCCGACCTCAGGTGATCTGCCAGCCTTGGCCTCCCAAAGTGCTGGGATTACAGGTGTGAGCCACTGCGCCCAGCCCCTAACAGGCACTCTTTATGGTGCTGATCAGTCACCTCTATCATAACCACGTACTATGTGCCAAGCACTCTTTATCGTGCTGAGCAGTGACCTCTATCATAACCATGTACTATGTGCCAAGCACTCTTTATGGTATCAGTGCCAAGCACTCTTTATGGTATCCATAAAGAGTGGTATCAGTGCCAAGAACTCTTTATCAATACCATGGTCTTTATGGATACCATGAAGTGCTTGGCACTGATACCATAAAGACTGCTTGGCACATAGTACGTGGTTATGATAGGTATCAGTACCATAAAGAGTGCTTGGCACATAGTACGTGGTTATGATAGGTATCAGTACCATAAAGAGTGCTTGGCACATAGTACGTGGTTATGATAGGTATCAGTACCATAAAGAGTGCTTGGCACATAGTACGTGGTTATGATAGGTATCAGTCCCATAGAGTGCTTGGCACATAGTATGTGGTTATGATAGGTATCAGTACCATAAAGACTTCTTGGCACATAGTACGTGGTTATGATAGATATCAGTACCATAGAGTGCTTGGCACATAGTACGTGGTTATGATAGGAATCAGTACCATAGACTGTTTGGCACATAGTACGTGGTTATGATAGGTATCAGTACCATAGAGTGCTTGGCACATAGTACGTGGTTATGATAGGTTATCAGTACCATAAAGAGTGCTAGGCACATAGTACGTGGTTATGATAGGTATCAGTACCATAGACTGCTTGGCACATAGTACGTGGTTATGATAGGTTGTCAGTACCATAAAGAGTGCTTGGCACATAGTACGTGGTTATGATAGGTATCAGTACCATAGAGTGCTTGGCACATAGTACGTGGTTATGATAGGTATCAGTACCATAGAGTGCTTGGCACATAGTACGTGGTTATGATAGGTATCAGTACCATAAAGAGTGCTTGGCAGATAGTACGTGGTTATGATAGGTTATCAGTACCATAGAGTGCTTGGCACATAGTACGTGGTTCTGTCAGTATTTATGGATGGCTCAAGACACAAAATAGCTTTATAAAACAGTGCTTTGCTTGAGTTTTTATGAATAAATCAATCTGAAGTCATCTCTCTTGTGGCTCAGAACGAATTTCTCCCTTTTATCTTAGGGGAAGACAAGAATAAGGGAGTATGTAACTTTAACATGAGTTTATCAAAGAAGGAAGCACCAAGATTATTAACCTAAATGAGAATACTATTCTAATGATATTAGCCAGAGAATAATATAGTTCCTGTTTCAGAATTGCCAATTACCATTCCAAGTCACAGTATCTTCATTTATAATGTGGGGACAACTATAATACCTAATTATTGGTTATTGTGAGGGTTAAACAGGAAAATATACTTAAAGCCCTTAGGATACCACCTAGAACTTCATCAACAAATGCACCTATTTTGTTATTATCATCTTCATATTAGTGGTGCATTCAACCATAAAGCCACTCAAAGCTGATGCTGAGTCACGGTGACCCCTAACTAACACATCGCATCAATCTGCTCCCTGTAATGTACTCGAGATACCCACTGCAGCAATGACGTCTTTGATGATTTTAATTTACTACTATTCACAGGTTCCCAGTTTTGGCCTACAGGTCACGGGGAATAAGAAAGGGATGTCGGCCAGGTGCGGTATCTCACGCCTGTAATCCCAGCACTTTGGGAAGCTGAGGCGGATGGATCGCGAGGTCAAGAAGTCGAGACCATCCTGGCCAACATGGTGAAACCCCGTCTCTACTAAAAGTACAAAAATTAGCCAGGCGTTTGGCAAGCGCCTGTGGTCCCAGCTACTTGGGAGGCTGAGGCGGAAGAATCGCTTGAACCCGGGAGGCCGAGGTTGCAGTGAGCCGAGACTGCGCCACTGTGCTCCAGCCTGGCTACAGAGCAAGACTCTGTCTCAAAAAATGAAAATAAAAAAAAGAACGGGATTTCACGGTCTAAACCAGTTTATCAGTATGTAAACCGAACAAGTACAGTTTGAGCTTCTCGTGAATCACTGGAGCGCAAGGACAAAGTCTTAGCCACTTCTACAACCCCCAGCGGAGAATCTGACACGTGACGGTCGATGTTGAGTAAATAATAAATGCGTGATAAGCACATGCCACCTCCGTGACGGTCAGTTCAGGCAATCGGACGCCTAGCGCTTCAGAAGCACACCTGGTGAGAAGTGGGCGGCCTTTCCACGCTCCGCGCCGCAAGAACTGCCTGGGTCGGAGGCCAGCTGCCCCAGCAGCGCTGCAGACGCCGAGGCAGGACGCGCCCTCTGGCGGCGCCCCGCCCGCTCCCGCCCGCCCCAGCGCGCCGCCGCCCGCCCCGTCCGCCCCGCCCGCCCCAGCGCGCCGCCGCCCGTCCCCGTCCGCCCGGCCCGCCCCAGCGCGCCGCCGCCCGCCCCCGCCCGCTCCCGCCCGCTCCCGCCCGCCCCAGCGCGCCGCCGCCCATCCGGAGAGTCTGAGGCAAAGGCGCGCAGGCCCGCGCCGGGCGGGGCCTCTCCCGGCCTGATGGAGGGCACTGCGGGTCGTGGGGGCCAAGCGCCCGGCTTCTTACTTCGGTTTCAGACTGAGGGCCGAGCCGAGGCGGCGCGGGCGCGGGTGCAGGAGCAGGATTTACAGCAATGGGGGCTGACAGGTGAGCGGGCTACGGGCGGGCTTCGCCCAGGCGGGTCGGGGGCGCAGCAGGGGGCCGCCCGGTGGGTTGTTTACCAGCCAGCGACAGGGCTTTCCTGCGTTCCTGCCGTGGGCGGGGAGAAAACGCGTCCGGGCTGGGTGGCCGCGGGCCAGCGAACGCGGGATGAATGTGGTCCGGTCCCGGGCCTGTGAAAGGGGAAACGTGGTGAGGGCAGCGCCCCCTGCAGGCTCCGAGGAACAGTCGGAAGGCCCGGCGCACCAGGGATGTAAGTTTCGAGCGCTCACTACCGCAGTAACTCGATTTATTGACACTGGCCCTTTCGGAGAGTCTTGTAGGGCACGCTGGGAGCCCGATGCAGGGCTGAGGGCCCCACAGCGTCGTGGGGTGAGCCTTATGCTGTGCTGAGGCGCAGGATCCGAGAAATAAAGAGACAGGACACAGAAGTACAAGAAAAACGCGGCTGGGCTCGGGGGGCCACGCCACCTATGTGCGGAGTCAGGCGAGGCCCCGAATGTCCAGAAGTGTGAGTATTTATTGTGTATAGGTTAGGGGGCAGGGCAGTGAGTGAAATCATCTTTAAGGATAGTGATAGGGTCGTGAGCAATAAAACATGGGGTCCACCCCCCATTAGGTCACCTAGGCCAGGAGGTGGACAGTGCACAGCAAAGGGCCCGTTCCCACGAAGGCAAGGGCCGTGCGCAGTAAGGGGTCCACCCCCCATTAGGTCACCGAGGTTTGAAGGTGGGCCGTGCATAGTGTGCAATACTTCTATCTATGGTCAAACTACTTCTAGGAAGATTCATAGGAGGATGCTTTAAGTCGCATAGCAGTGACAGAGCTGTCAGGGTTACCGCCACCTCCTGGCAGCTTCCAATGGGTTCTATGGGAAGATGCTTTTCAAGCAGCGTGGTAGCAAGAGCTGATGAAGTTCACAGTCACCAACGTGCGATTGCTGGTCTGAGGGCAGCCTCCCACAAGAATCGGAGCAAGGTCCTACAACTCCTTATCAGGAGGAGTGGTTCTCGTCCCAAGCCTGCCATACAGCGGGTATCTTTGATACTGAACGCTGCCGCCTGGGCCATGGATTCTTGTCCTGGCATAACTGTTTTTCCCTTAAATCATGCTGTGCACTGTGTCTGCTTTTAGGCATTCCTCCGATTATAGGCTGCTTATTCCTTAATTCATGCTCTGTACTGTGTCCACTCTAGGCATTCCTCCGATATGAACTAAGATATAATTATAGGTATATATGTAGGGAAATATTCTGTAGGCACTCATTAACTATTATATGATTATATATAGAGGATTATATAAAGGGATTCGTCAAGCCCTAATTCTTTAATATATGATTATATAAAGGATTATATAAAAGGATATAGCTGAGTGGTAACACTATAAAGTGAGATATTCCTCAAGCCCTAACTGTGCCAGGGTTCTGCTTAGCTCTCATTCCTCAGTGTCTATATGGGGGGTTACCCACAGAGTCTGAAAGCGCGAACTTTACACTACCCCCAGCCCTGCCGCTGAGCGGCTGACACGTGCTTCCTGCAGCCCTGAGACTCCGCTCTACTCCCGGGTCTGCGCTGACTCCCCACTGAACCCCCCAGTCCCCACCACCCAGCCTCGTTTTCCTTATTGCAAAGTGGGGAACGTGCGGGCCTTGACTGTATTAACAGAATCGTGCATCAGTAGTAATAATACAGTCGTTTATTCTTGACTTACTGAATGCTCCTGGGAGCCTATTCTTAGGTATTGGCTACAGAGATGAGTAAAACAAATATGCAGCCTTCCTACCTAGAGTTTTGGACTAGTGAGTGAGAGTTCATTTAAAAGTATGAATTATAATTTATTTGAGTGCTCAATACCACGAAAGAGTGAGGTTTGTCATTCTAGGAATGAAGCAAAAGGTGCAGTTCTGTGTTTAACTTAGAATAGAGAAGGATGAAGTTGAGTGGAGAGAATGCGGACGTGAAAGAGAAAGCCCTCTCTCCTTGATTCCCGGAGTCTAAGAATGTGTCCGTGGCTGTAAGGAGTGTGTATCCAATATAAGTATGAGCTTTAGACTGGTCTTTTTTTGTTTGACTTTATCCTGACTAAAGTTAATGTCTGTGTGTTTGCCTATTTCTTTGCAAGTGTTAGGAATGGTTCTTTAAGAACTTGTGTGAGAGAAGGCTCAGAAACGTGTGCCAGTTGATACTTAGCTGTAGGTAACAGCCAGGAGAAATGTACATATATGGGCGGGTGTTTTAGTGAAAATGAGACGAGAGTTGCAAGTTTGAGTGGATGGAGTAAAAGCAGAATTAAGTAGGCAAATGTGGCAACTGGTTTAAACTGGTTGTGGAGAGAAAGAAAAATAGAAAAGCGTAGTCAAAGGAATAGCTACTGAATATTGTAACTTGTAATCCTCTATCTGTTTACCAGAATAAATTAATATTATGAGAAACTATTCTTCATGAATTGATTACAAAAATTCTTCCTGCTTTTTTTTTCTTTTGGTTACAGAAATAGTACATATTCTCTGTAAAACATTTAGGGAAATAGCCAATGCATAAGGAAAATACATTTGAATCTCCATAGTCTCTTTGCTGTTATCATGTTCTCAATATCCTTATAACCAAAGATTTATTATAGCTTTTGACTTTTCATTCTGAAAGGTATGCAAAATTTTTGCTTATTTCTCCAAATTTCTGTCTTACAAAAGTTTTATATTTTGGCTGAAATTTATCATTTTTTTCTCTTGGGGATAGTTTTTTTTGTTTAGTGTCAAATATAAGAACTCATTGCCTACTCCCAGATCCTAAAGAGTTTTTTCTAAGTTTTACAGTTTTGTATTTAAGTCTGTGATCTACTTTTTTTGTCCCACAAATTTTGATATGTTGTATTTTCATTTAGTTCAGTGTATTTATTTCCCTGGAGACTTCCTCTATTGATGGACTGTTTAGAGGTGTGTTGTCTAGGTTCCAAGTGCTGAGAGATTTACCTCTAATGTTTCTGTCCATTAATTCTAATTTTATTACATTGTGTTCAGAGAACATACTCTGTACAATTTCACTTCTTTTAAATGTGTTGAGGTTTTCAGGCCGTGCTGTAGTTTGGATCTGGATTATTTGTCCTCACCAAATCTCATGTTGAAATTTGATCCCCAGTGTTGGAGGTGGGGCCTAATGAAAGGTGTTTGGGTTTTGGGGGGCAAATCCCTCCTGAGTAGATTAATGCTCTCCCTAGCAGGGAGCAGAGAGAATGAGTCACTTCTTATATATCAGTTTCCAGAGAGCTGATTGTTAAAAAGATCCTGGCATCTCCTCTTCTCTCACCATGTGATCTCTATACAAGCCAGCCCCACTTCTCCTGCCGTTAGTGGAAGCAGTCTAAAGCCCTCACCTGAAGCAGATGTTGTTGCCATGCTTCTTATACAGTCTGTAGAACCATGAGCCAAATAAACCTTTTTTTAAAATAAATTATCCAGCCTCGGGTGTTCCAAAGCAACACTAAATGGACTAAGGCCCTGAATGTGTTGTATGGTCCATGGCCCTTGAAAAGAATGTGTATTCTCCTGTCATTGGGTATCAGCAGAGCTGCATTCCTTTCTGGAGACTCTAGGAGAGAGTATATTTCCCAGCATCCAGAGGCTGCCCCCATTCCTTGATTCCTGGCTGCTTTCCTCCAACTTCAAAGCCAGCGACATTTCATCTCTTTGATCCTTTTCTAGTCAGCTTTGTCTCTAAGCACAGCTGTTAAAGGTTCTCTGAATGATGCCTGTGATTAGACTGCATGTCCAGTGTATTACCCAGGCCCACCGGGATAATTCAGAATGCTCTTCCCATCTCTGGGTCCTTAACCTTATTTATGTCTTCAGAATGCCTTTTGCCATGTGAGGTAACTTACTGATTCCAGGAGCAGGGCTTGGACATCTTTGTGAGGCCACTGTTTATCTACCACTTCATCCTTTTACTTCTCACTTGTTTAGCTAATTATTTTTGGGTTGAATTTCTTGTAGACAATTTATAATTGGGTTATGTTTTAAAATCCACTCTGGAAGTCTTTGTCTTTTAATTGATATATGATTTATATTTCATGTAATATGCTTGAGCTTAAGTCTGCCATCTTATTTTTATTATTTTAGTTTATCTCTGTTTTCTTTTGTTGCCTTCCTGTGAATTATTTGAACATTTTTTAGAATTTCATTTTTGTTTATTTACAGTGTTTTTTAGTTTATCTCTTTGTATAGCTTTTTAATGGTTGTGACAGGTATTGTATATTTATGTACGTGAGTGTATAAAATCACCGACTACTGATACTGTCATTTTACCTAGTTGAGTAAAGTATGGAAACCTTACTTCTCTTTATATCTCTTTACCTTCTATTTATAATTGTCTTAAATATTTCCTTTACATGCCTGTAGAACCACATCAGTCACTGTTACAGTCTTTCCACTGTCAAACATAAATTTAAAACTCAAGAAAGCTGCATTCTCACGTTCTTCCTGGTGTTCCAAGATTCGATCTTTTGTCATTTCCCTTTTTCCAAGGACTTCCTTTAGCCATTCTTTGAGGGTAGGTTTGTTGGTGATAAATTCTCTGTTTTCCTTCATCTGAGAATTTCCTCTTCGTTCCTGAATTCTAGTTTTCTTGATTACAGGAGTCTGGGTTGACAGTTCTTTTCTTTCAATACTTAAAAAAAAGTTGTGCCGGTTCTTTCTGGCCTTTAAGGTTTCTGACAAGAAATCTGCTTGCATTTGAATAGATTTCTCCCTCTTTAAATAAGGTGTTTGTTTCTTTTCTGGCTGCATTTAAGATATTTTATTTGTCTTTTGTTTTCAGCATTTAAATAATTACATATCTTGGTATGTATTTCTTTGGATTTTTTTCTGAGATGGAGTTACTGTGTTGCCAGGCTAGAGCGCAGGGGCTTGATCTCGGCTCACTGCAACCTCCACCTCTGAGTTCAAGCGATTCTCCTGCCTCAGCCTCCCGAGTAGCTGGGACTGCAGGCACATGCCACCATACCCAGCTAATTTTTGTATTTTTAGTAATGATGGGGTTTCTCCTTTTTGGCCAGAATGGTCTCAATCTCAACCTTGTGATCAACCCATCTCGGTCTCCCAAGTGCTAGGATTATAGGCATGAGCCACTGCGCCTGGCAGGATTTTTTTATGTTTGAGGTTTACTCAGTTTCTTGGAACTGTAGGTCTTTAGTGAGATTTGGGAAGTTTTCAGCTGTTATTTCTTTAAGTACTTTTTCAGCCCCTTTCCTCCTCTTTTTTTTTTTTTATTGGACGCCACTGAACAAATGTAGATCTTTTGTGGTAGTCCTGGAGTTCCCTGAGGTTCATTTGTTTTCAGTCTGTTTTCTCTCTCTTCTGATTGTAATCTCTGTAATTTCTATTCTCTTCTGATTGTAAGCTCTCTGTAACTTCCATTCTGTCTTACAGATTCTTTCTTCACTTCCTTCCATTCTGCTGTTGATCTCATAAACAGCCTCAGTAGCCTTTTATTTTGGTTATTGTATTTTTCAGTTTTAAAATTTCTAATTGGTCTTTCTTTGTATCTTTTATGTCATTGCTGAGATTTCTGTTTCTTACCTGAGGTTTTTTTGGTTTTTGAATTGTTCACATGCATTTATAGCTACTTGTTGAAGCATTTTTATCATTACTGCTTTGAAGTCTTTGTCAGATAATTCTGTGTCATCTGGGTGTTGGCACCTATTGATTATCTTTTTTTGTTCAATTTGAAACTTCCCAGTTCTTGATATAATGAATGATTTTTTATAATAATTAGAGCCAGGCGTTTTTGTATCATGTTTAAACCTCTTGTTTGACTATCTTGGTCTGTCACTGCTCTGGCAGGAGAAGAGAGTCTGTTGCCTTGATATTGCAAGGTGGGGACAGAAGTCCAGGCCCCTCTTTCAGCCTCCGTCTACATCTGGGGATGGGGAAGGGGCCTCTCCTTCCTGCCGGGTGAGGGTCGAGTTGTGGCTCCCTCCTGAGTCTCTACTGATCCTGCAGGGGAAGCCAAGGGGTTGGTCCTCATTACTGATTGGTAGGGATAAAAATCCCAGCTCCCTACTTGGCCTTCTCTTGTACCATCTTGATTGGGGTGCGGGGGCACTCGTTATAGCTGTAGGGGGCGGGACATCAGGTTTATTCCTGTGTTGTTTAGCTAGAATAGAGCAGTTATTATCTAAAAGTTTCCTGACTTGCTAGGCTGCCATTTTCTAGCAGGAGCAGGCGTATGAAGGGTGAGGTGGTTAATATGGTTTGGCTATGTCCCCAACCAAATGTCACCTTGAATTGTAATAATCTCCACGTGTCAAGGATGGCCCAGGTGGAGATAATTGAACTATCGGGCAGTTCTCCCATATTATTCTCATGGTAGTGAATAAATCTCACAAGATCTGATGGTTTTATAAGTGGGAGTTCTCTGCACAAGCTCTCTTACCATGTAAGATGTGACTTTGCTCCTCATTTGCCTTCCACCATGATTGTGAGGCCTCCCCATCCATGTGGAACAATGAGTCAAGTAAACCTCTTTTCTTTATAAATTACCCGATCTCAGGCATGTCTTTGTTATCAGCGTGTCTTTATTATCAGACTAATACAGGGGGTGTTCTGATTTGTTTAGGTTTGGGTCTACACCAGTTGGTGTTTCCAGTTTGCTGATTTCTTGACCTCTCAGACTGGGCTATATAAGGCAAAAATAAATTCTGGGGAACTCACTACCCTGCCCTTCCTCAGGTCCCAAGGTCCCTAGCCAACCTGCTTCTTCACTGCACCTTTCAGAGACTTATGCTTGCTTTATCTATCATGTCTAGGGTTTTTATTTCTACTTAGCAGTAGGAATAGGGGAACGTATATATACTCCCATCAGAAATAGAAATCTCTTGAGTTTTCTAATGTATAAAATGGGGATAACATTTACTCTGTAGAATTCTTACAAGCATTACATGAGATACTGCAATTTATTTATTTATTTATTTTGAGATGGAGTCTCGCTCTGTCACCAAGGCTGGAGCACAGTGGTGCAGTCTCAGCTCCCTGCAACCTCGACCTCCTAGGTTCAAGCAATTCTCCCTGCCTCAGCCTCCCAAGTAGCTGGGATTACAGGTACCCACCACCATGCCCAGCTAATTTTTGTATTATTAAGTAGAGATGGGTTTCACCAAGTTGGCCAGGCTGGTCTTGAACTCCTCACCTCAGGTGATCCACCTACTTCGGCCTCCCAAGGTGCTGAGATTACAGGTGTGAGCCACCACCCCCAGCCCGAGATACTGTAATTTATGTAAAGTGTTTACTACTCCTCTGGTATTTGTAAGTGCCTATGAAAAATACCTATTTTTTAAAAATGTTGTACAATTACATATTTTGAAGATTTTTAAAGCTATAAGTTAAACCAGAAAGTTCTATTTTTTGCAAATAGTTCTTATATAAAGTATGCTGACGGTCTTTCACCTTCCTAAGATATGGCTATTCTTTGAAACTGGATTTTTTTTTCACCAAGGGAGAGAGAGTCAGTAGAAGCTTCATGTGGATTTCATGTGTTTTGCCATCCCTGTACACAGTGAAACACCCTTTCCATTCTTAAAAACAGCCCTTCTGTGTTGAAGCATTATTTAGTGTAGTCCTGAGTTTTTCCCTTTAGCACTCATGGCACATTTAAATGGATGCAGTGAAGCAAGCAGACACATGTACAATCTATCTGTTGTTGCTTGTTGTTAAGTGCTATCAGTAATGCCTCATTTCCCGGAATGGACACTGGTGTGAGTCTCAGGCAGTACAGAGGCCACATCCCAAGTTGACTTTCTCATCTCTCAAGTGAATCAGGTAAACTGACAGGCTCCTTTGGGACTTTGAATATAGTGGTGAATACGTCTCCTCAAAAAGTAGTTTGGAAGTCAGCAAGTGTTTAGATACCCATAGCTCCTCAGCAAAGGACATGGCCAGTGAAGTCTAGGGTTATGTGACTTTAGGCCGTGTTCCTCATTCGGACTCCTAGAACATTGCCTCTGCATGTGCTGAAATGTCCACTGTTCAGATTTGCTGTATTTTTTGTTTCTAGGGGTTCACCTACGCTCTTATCAACTGGAGGGAGTCAACTGGCTTGCCCAGCGCTTCCATGGTCAGAATGGCTGCATCCTGGGAGACGAGATGGGCTTGGGGAAGACCTGCCAGGTATGTTACTGTGTAACGAGTACTGCTCACCGCCACTGAAGTACCTTCTTATAACTCATTCTGCAGCTGAGCGCTCTGAAGCTAGAACAACGTTCAGTTTCACAGATGTCTCTGGGATCCAGGCTGGCTGGCTCTTGCACCAGGAAAGGGCCTTCCCTTTAGTCTTCTCTGCTTCAATCATTGCAGTTGCCCTACTGATTTTATTCAGGGCCAGCAAATGCTACTTGTCCTTTCCTCAGATGTTCACATAACTCTGCTTTAAGCTCTCTAAAAAGATACCACCTCCAAATTTGTTTTGCTAAAATTTTGTTTAGACTTTTTGCATCTATGTTCATGAAAGACATTGGTCTGTAATTTTCTTGTAATGTCATTATCTGATTTTAGTATTGGAGTAAAGCTGCCCTCATGGAGTGAGTTGAGAAGTATGCCGTTCTCTTCAATTTTCTGGAAGAATTTATGTAGAATTGCTGTAATTTTTTTCTTAAATTCTTGCTAGAATTCGCTAGTGACTCCACACTTGTTTTGTGGACAATCTGGTTTATAATAATGAAAGATAAATTTTCTCTAAATTACATCCTCAGGAAAGCTAGAATGAATGGTTTTAGTTCAGTTACTAAAGAATGGTTCTGGGCACCATTTGAACTGAGAAGCCATAGATAGTTTAAAAAGAAAATTATTTCTGTTATAAAAATTAACTGCCACCCTGTAATGAAGCACTCAAACCACAACCATGAATAGTAATGCATGTTTTGCATGATTGAATTTTTGTTTTGTTTTATTTTTGAGACAGGGTCTTGCCCCATCACCCAGGCTGGAATGCAGTGGCATGATCTCAGCACACTGCAACCTCTGCCTCCCAGGCTCAAGCAGTCCTCAGTCTCCCAAGTAGGTGGTACCACAGGTGCATGCCACCACGCACAGCTTATGCGTAAATTTTTTGTAGAGATGAGGTCTCGCTATATTGTCCAGGCTGGCCTTGAACTTTCGGGAACAAGTGATCCTCCTACCTCGGCCTCCCAGCGTGCTGGGATCACAGGTGTGAGCCACTGTACCCAGCCCATGGTTGAAATTATAGTGTGTATATAGTCTGTATTTGTTAATGTAACAGTGTCACTGTAGTTTTTTACTTTATTATATTCGTAATCATTATTATCAATATTGTATGTTATTACATCAAGAGAATCATCATAATTAAATGTCCTACAGATGAGAAATGCTGATTCCTCCCTTTTTTGTGCTGTTTGATCTTGATAGGAACACGTTTGTGCATATAGCTTTCTCAGGATTTTGAGTTATATCCTTAGGACAGATTTTTCTCAGAAACAGCTCAGCATTTGAAGATGGGGTCTCTTGACGCATTCTTGTTTTAAAATAGGTTATTTTCTCTGTATATTACAGCGACATTCAAATCATAAATGTGTACTAGAATCTTCTCAAGTATGTCCATTTGTCTTTACCAAGGTTCCATTTTCTACCCTTCCCTAAGCTTAGGAGGATCATATATTGCCTGTTTTCCCCATTACATTGAGTCCTCCAGGAGAGCTGGGTGTTTTGTTTTGTTCACTGTTGTGTAACTGGAGTATAGGACAGTGCTTAGCAAATAGCAGACACCCTGTAAATACATATGAAAGAAGGGAAAACAGTAGGGGAAGGTGGGAGGAAGTGAGGGAGGCAGGAAAGCATTCTCCCTCAGGAAAGCCTGGCAAGCAGCAGAGGGCTGCCATGCGATTGGCTGTTTTGCAGTCATATCTTGGCACTTCTTCCTTAATGTTTTCAGAGTATTGCTGATCTTGGCCATCAGTTGGATTTTCAGTGATTTCTGTTGTCTTTCCTGACTTTTTCTTTACAGTAAAGGTTCAGTTACCTAAACATTGAGCCTCATTGCTTGTTAACTACTGAAGTAATTGAGTTCCATAAATTTCTGTGGCAAGTATATTAAGGCTTACATGATTTCACTCCACGAATGGATTACTCCTAATGTGCAGAAGATTGTACAATATTTCTTTGTAAAACAAGTCTTATACAAGTGTGTGCGTTCCCTACAGGGTTGTGGGAACTTCGTGGTTGTTTCTCATGGGAAAATGCGATCAAAACTGCCTTGTTTTTCTGTGTTCCAGACGATTGCTCTCTTCATTTACTTAGCAGGAAGATTAAATGATGAAGGACCATTTCTGATTCTTTGTCCCTTGTCTGTTTTGAGCAACTGGAAAGAAGAAATGCAGAGGTACAGAGTAGATGTAGCTGCAATTTTATTGTATATCTTGATTAAGTTTTTTTTCTGGATGATGTGTGAAATGTGAGAAAATAACCTATTGTTATAATCAGTAAGTTTATTCCAGAAAACTGTGAACTGTGGCCGGGCACAGTGGCTCACACTTGTAATCCCAGCACTTTGGGAGGCTGAGGCGGGCTGATCACCTGAGGTCGGGAGTTCAAGACCAGCCTGACCAATATGGAGAAACCCCATCTCTACTAAAAATACAGAATTAGCTGGGGCATGGTGGTGCATGCCTGTATTCCCAGCTACTCAGGAAGCTGAGACAGGAAATGGCTTGAACCCAGGAGGCGTAGGTTGCGGTGAGCCAAGATCGCACCATTGCACTCCAGACTAGGCAACAAAAGCGAAACTCCGTCTCAAAAACAAAAAGAAAGAAAGGAAAGAAAACTGTAAACTAATGCAGTGTAGGTAGACACCAAGGATGTAATGGGAAGTGCCCAGTGGATATTATTACTGTTTGGCGATTTGAAGGTCAGTAATCATTGATAGTATTGATGAACTATCGTAGAAGCCATTGCTTTTCATAGTGGCGTAGGAAGTAACTAATGTGGAAGAGATCATTTTATTTTTAGAGTCAGCATAAGACCTTTTTAGATCTGATCCTTCTACCTATTCACATAGGAACTTGCTCTGAGGTTCAACCATTGCTTTAGATAAGATTCAGAGCCCTAAGACTCTGGTGGTAGGACCTCATGAGGTCTGCATGTGAATGTAATCCTCCCATGAAATGTAATTTTCCAGGTATGTATATCCTGTCACATGAATCTACTGTTTATATTCATCTACTTCTTTTCTTGGATTCAGATTTGCTCCAGGTCTTTCCTGTGTAACGTATGCAGGTGACAAGGAGGAAAGAGCCCACCTTCAGCAAGACCTAAAACAGGACTCACGTTTTCATGTGCTACTGACTACCTATGAGGTATCCATTCGTTTCTCTATGGGAACAACTTCTAACCTGTGACTTTAGAAGTTGTAGAGTCTGAAGAAATTATATTTAAGTTTTGTTGAGAACACACACACTTCTCTGGGCAGGGACTCTACCTTCATCAGGTTCTCAAAAGAGGGCTCTGAGTAAAAGAAGTGAAGGACCATTGTGCTTCAAATTAGTTAGATCTTTTCCTTTCCTGGTGGATCAAGGGGGAAGGCTTCTCAGGAAGGAGGCACTTGAGCTGCCTCTTGGTTAATGAACAGGAGCCAGGCAGGCAGGCAGGCAGGCAGGGGAAAGGGTTTTGTGGGCTGAGGAATCATGTCTGTTAACTGGAGGATAGGAATGGAAGACAGTTCCGGCTTATTTTAAGTGTTTGTTCTTTAGTTTAAGACTGTGTGCTGCTCACCTTCTGCTTAGTCAGGCTTTTCTTCTCTTTGTTTTTAAGATGGTGCTACTTAGAAATTATTCTCAGAACTTTTTTTTTTCGTGAACAAATGAGACTTAGATAAATCCTGTAGTTTAAGAGAGTTCATGGAAAACTAGCTTATCAATATCAGAGTTTATCAATGCCAGCCTTTATGTTTTATAATATGTCTTCCTAATTTTTCAGATTTGCTTGAAAGATGCCTCATTTCTAAAATTGTGAGTACTGTTTGAGAACTTGCATTGAATGTATCGGGCCTGTCATGTCTTTCCTGCCATTTTCGTGCTTTGCCTCTCCTGGCATGTCTGCTATGTCTTCCATGAGTTCCGTTTATGCATAGGCGGAATGCTGGGGGTCCTGTGTTACAGCCCTCTGCTCATTAGCTGTGTGTCCTTGGGTTAGTTATTTCATCTCCATCAACTTCAGTTTCTTCATCTGTAAAATGGGGATAATTATTTCTTAACCTTGAATAGCTGTTAGGAAAATTAAGTGAGATTAAACACACTTTGTATGGTTAATAGATATTAGGCTCTTTACATGCAACTTGCATAGACCCCTTTCAGTACTAACATTTGGAGATTTTACTGTAATGTAGGAGGAGAATCACTTGAGCTGTTTGCTGGAAATAACCTAGGGTAGTAATCAGTGCTATGGAATTAACTTTTTAGAAAGAGTATTTTAAATGTGCTTCTAATTAGTTAACTTTTAGACCTCATATTGGCCCATGAAGTCGGAAACTCAGATTTAACTCTCAATACCAGCTGACAATGGGAATGACAAGATCACGTCACGGTAACAGGATAATGCAAATTAAACAAGGGCTAGAGTTTAGGTAAGAGAAAGATATGTTCAACTATCTTGCATGTTCTGCACATGTACCCCAAAACCTAAAATGCAATAAAAAAAATAAAAAAAAAAAGAAAGATATGTTGGCAGGGTTTCAATCTCTATAACTTCTGTAGTTAATACATGGTGAGGTGGATATTCTGCATCTTTTCTTTCTTTTTCTAAGATGGAGTCTCGCTCTGTCGCCGAGGCTTGGAGTGCAGTGGCGTGATCTCAGTTCACTGCAACCTCAGCTTCCCGGGTTCAGGTGATTCCCTGCCTTAGCCTTTCAAGTAGCTGGGATTACAGGTGCCCGCTACCATGGCCTCGCAAATTTTTTGTATTTTTAGTAGAGACAGGGTTTTACTATGCTGGCCAGTCTGGTCTTGAACTCCTGACCTCAGGTGATCTGCCTGCCTCAGCCTCCCAAAGTGCTGGGATTACAGGCATGAGCCACTGCGCCCAGCCCTGCATCTTTAATATTAAAAAATTCTTCTTTTCCCAAAGTATTAATATTTTAGATGATATTTCTCATCCAGATTCCTGTGAGTTGGATTTCTATTTTCTTGTTATTCTGAATACTAGAGGCTAGGTCACAGATTTCATGACTTCTATCTTCGTATTTCATTTAAGTGAGCATATTATCTTACCTTTCTTAAGATATACGTTCCCTCCCTTTTTATTAATATTTAACTTAATATTTGTTGAAAGTCACTTCTGGACAGATACTGTTCTGAGAGTTACTGGCAATATCAGGAAAGTAAATCTTAGAGCTACCCGAGGAAAACATGAACTCCATTGGAGGGATGAGAAGTGTACAGGTAATCCCAGCACTTTGGGAGGCCAAGGCGGGTGGATCAAGAGATCGAGACCATCCTGGTCAACATGGTGAAACCCCGTCTCTACTAAAAACACAAAAAATTAGCTGGGCATGGTGGCGCGTGCCTGCAATCCCAGCTACTCAGGAGGCTGAGGCAGGAGAATTGCCTGAACCCAGGAGGTGGAGGTTGCGGTGAGCCGAGATCACGCCATTGCACTCCAGCCTGGGTAACAAGAGTGAAACTCTGTCTCAAAAAAAAAAAAAAGGAAGTGTACAGATATCCATAATACATAGCAAGATATGGGAAGTCTCAAAAGACAATGAAATTTGGACATAAATGTTGTTGGGTACTTTACATAAATTATCCCATGTAATAATGAAAACCCTACAAGGCAGCTGTTATCAACCATTTTATGGGTGAGGAACGTAAGAGATTCAGTAATCCATCCAAGGTTATGTTGCTGACGATAAATAGCAAAGCTTGCATTTAAACCCAGCATTTGGTGCTGTGGAGCCTCTTTTTGAGAGAACTTCTCAAAATAGCTAGTTGTACTGGAGTTTTACATTATTCAGTAGAAACAGAATTTTTCTAGTTGAGATAACCTGTTTTCAATGCATTTTCAGGTAGATTTAAGAACCTAAGTAACAGAAGGACATTCATAATGCTGTCTTGTATGAATCCCAGCAGCATAGATACATTCTTTCAATGTCTTTGGAAAGTTATATTGCTTATTACTGTATTGTACATTCAGAGAATAGCAGGGAAGTGTAATATCATCTCTGCACTAAAGAGATTTGTTATGGAGAGTTAAGGCTGTGCATGTTACAGAAATGAAAAATTTGAAATGTTTTGGGCAATAGACTTGTAAAACTGTTTGGATCAAGGGGATTAGAAGCTACCTTATCAGACTTTACATTCAGTGTTGGGATTCCCTCCATCGCTTCCTCTTCAGGGAGCACCCTTTAGAGTATCTTTTGATGAGTGACTTGATCCACTTCCTTTCACGAGCCAAAATCTACCTCACTGGAGCCTGTTTCACAGGCAAGCGTTTGTTAGACACTGAGTGTCTAGTTCTTCACAAGGGAATAGGACCTAACCTGTTTTGAAAGGTAATTCAAACAGAGCCAGCCACCATACTAGAGAAACTTCCAGACCTTATCTCATGACCACTGGGCAACTTCGTCTGGACCCTTGTTTCTTACCATCCTTAGATGCATCCTCTGCTCATGCCACCCAGCCTTTTCCTTCGGCTTCCTTGTCTCTCTTTGGACCCTCAGTCCTCCCTCCACACACTCCTGTCGGTAGGTAAATGGTAGTATAGTAGGAACCTCTGTTTTTCCACCTGTCCTCTGGAGTTTATCTGTAACCTCAGGAAGAGGGCCTTCTACTTGTAAGGTGAACCTCTGCTGATCTTTCTCTAATTTGGGGGGAATTTTCCTTTCCATTCCTACTATTTTTCCAATATTCTCTTTTACCTGTATATACATTTAGTTTTTTTAAAATATGAAAATAATGTAATGGGACTCCAGAATGTTTATAATCAAAATAAAAAGTTAAACATCTTATAATTTCCACTTTTTTATTTTTGCATGTTTTCACATTTGTAAAAGAGGATATATGATATTAACATCTTTTTTATTGTGTAGGCCTTTTACATTACAATATAATCATATTTATCATTTTAAATGCCACATAATCTTTTACCACTTATTATTGGACATTTAGGTTCATTTCCATTTTTTGCTGTTTTAAATAATACAACTTGAAACATTGCCACATATTTTTCTGTATTTTGTTTTTTGAAATAGCTTTCCAGTAATGTTTGTCAAAGTATTTGCTTTTCTGACTGAAACTTCTTGAGAAATTGCTGATGTGACCCACTGTGTTACAGAATGTTTTCTGGCAGCAGCCACCAATCAAATCCAGTGGATATGTCTTCCTGGACATATCTGTAACATTGACTCTATTTACCAGTTCCCCATTTTAAAGTCACACTTCTTAAGTTGCTACACCACCACTGTCTCTTGATTTTTCCTTCTGTGCTTGAACGTCACCTCTGTCTTTATGACCCTCACCAAGTCACCTAACCTTTCTGAGCTTTAGCGTCTTTGCTAGTAAAACGAGCACAACTGTCTGCTTGCTATGCTCTTTTGGACCAAATAACACATAAAGCCCTGAGGTCAGTGTCTAGTGCAAAGTAGAAGATCATAAATGCTTCCTTTTCCTTTCTGTCTCTGGCTTCTTCCTTTCTGCATAGGTCTTTCCCATTTTGTAAAAAAAAAAAAAAAAAATTATCTTAGTTTTACTACCTTATTTAGATATTGTATTAAGCACACGGTAGCCTCTCAGGTAGGAAGGTAATTTGGTTGCATTTTTTAATAGAATGGCCTTACTGTTAGTCTTTTTAACAACAGTCATGGTTTTATAGTAAGATTGTGAAATATATGTTTAAATTACACAAAACTGAAAGCTTGGGTTTTCTCTCACAGATTCCCTTGGAGTGTTCTTGTTGTGGATGAAGCTCACAGGTTGAAAAACCAAAGCTCTCTGCTGCATAAGACCTTGTCAGAGGTAAACTCACAGTGTAGCCCTTCTTTTTTAAACAGACATTTTTTTAGAGTAATTTTAGATTCACAACGAAATTGAACAGACACTACAAATGTTTCCCATACATGTACAGCTTCCCCATTATCAGCGTACCCCACCAGAGTGGCACAGTTGCAGCTGATGAACCTACATTGATACGTCGTTATCACCCAAAGCCCGTAGTTTACATTTGGGTTCTGTCTTCGTGGTATACATTCTGTAGGTTTGGACAAATGTACAAAACCATGATATTTACTGTTGTAGTATCACACAGAGTACTTTCACTGCCCTAAAAACTCTGTGTTCCACATATTCATCCTTTCTTCATAACTCTTTTTTTTTAAAAAAAATATTAGTTTAGGCCTATATAGAGTCAATTAAATTGAAACCTTTTTTTGAGTTTGATTTCTGCAGCGTAAAGGAACATTTTGTGGAAGACAGAAGTAGTACTTAATATGGCCTAACTTCTTCTTTCTGTCCTTTGTATAGGAGAGAGGCTTAACTAAAATCTGGTGAATAAGAACTCTACCCCAATAAAATGCATTTTATTTTGGAAATGTTTCAATTCTCCTTTGATCATCTTCAAAGGGACGATTTCTTTTAAAAAATAATCTTATAATTATTCTTTATGCAATAATAGATATATCAGACATGTTGTACCCCTCCTCCAATTTACCTGTTGAAAAAATTTGATAGTTCACATGGGGTCATTAGGAGACCAATTACATGCTATTAAATGTTACTTCCAGTCTGTCCTGTTCTGTCTTGTCTTTGTCCTCCTTTTGAGCCTAATATACTTGCTTTCATTCCTTTCTCTGGATCTGTTGAATCATTCTGGCATAGTGGATGAGAAATCATTGTAGCTTAGATTGGCCCTTTTTTCTGAGGAGCCAGTGCAATGTGAAATACCCTTCTTACTGACTTGGTAAAGGTTTGTTCATTGATGAGACCACATATGTTAATTTCTCTGATGAGAATTTAAGTTTGGCCCTTGTCCTATAATAAATCAATTAATAAATTTAGAGGCCATTTCGAGGAAAGTCTTAGATATGAAATCTATATTTACTGGCTTAAAAGTTGCAGTTTTTGGAGTTTTAATGTAGATATGCTCACTGTCTATATTAGTCCAGTCTCAAAGGTTGCTGCCCCCTGGTGGGGCCTCTCTATCCCTGGTGTCCTTTGCCGCTTCTGTAGGGACTTTAACAGTCGTCTCTCCTTCTGAGAGTTTGTCTTGGTCTGTTTTTCACAGACTGGGTAATTCACTGTTCTAGAGGCTGGGAAGTCCAAGATCAAGGTGCTGGCATTTGGCAGGAGCCCTCTTACTGACTGCATCCTCTCATGACAGAAGGTGGATGGGCAAGAGGGAACAGAAGAACAAGCTGTCCAAATGCTGCATGACACTTTAAAAAAAAAAAGACCTTAATTCTATTCATGAGGGAAAAGCTCTCATCAACTAACCACCTCTTAAAGGCCCTACCTCTTAATACTATCACATTGGCAACACCTGGATTTTGGAGGCAACACTTTCAATCCATAGCAGTTGTCCATCTCGGTATTTAACCATATAAAAGACTGCTTCATAAACTACTGCGCCAGTTTACTGATATACAATGGGAGGAGAGAAGCAGGCACAGTGAAGAACCTGGATTTGGAGTGGGGAAACTGAGTTCTGTTGCTGGCCCCAGAGCCTTTTCTTTTTTTTTTGTTTGAGATGGAGTTTTGCTCTCGTTACCCAGGCTGGAGTGCAATGGCACGATCTCGGCTCACCGCAACCTCCACCTCCTGGGTTCAGGCAATTCTCCTGCCTCAGCCTCCTGAGTACCTGGGAATACAGGCACGCACCACCATGCCCAGCTAATTTTTTGTATTTTTGGTAGAGACGGGGTTTCACCATGCTGACAGGATGGTCTCGATCTCTTGACCTCATGATCCACCCGCCTCGGTCTCCCAAAGTGCTGGGATTATAGGCGTGAGCCACCATGCCTGGCCCCCCAGAGCCTTTTCTTGTTCTTGTTGCTTATAAGGAAACTAAGGCTCAGAGGAGTTAAGTGAGGAAACGGTTCTGGGTCATCTCAGCATTCCGTTTTAGATAAGGCTTGGGTTGTAGATAACTGGTAAGTTAGAAAATACATTTATTTATTGGGCCGAGAGGTAGGGAGGGGGATACTGCCTTTTGTTTCTTCCTAATACTGTTTTCAGTTTGTAAAAGTTGGAAGCAAACTAAACATGAAATAAAAGGATTACAGGGAATGCACAGGTTATGCAATTTATGTCCCATTCACACAGTGCATTTACAGAAGGCTACCTTGAACAGTCATGTAAAGTATATAGAAAATGTTTATAAAGTATTTCATATACTCAAAAAAGCTTGCAAAATACTGTTTACAAACAGAGATGGTCTCTGAACCTTTACCCAGTTAGAAGAAGTTTTGGTCCCAGAATGGATCCAACTGAATCAGAATGTTAGTTTGTGACACAGGGTAATACCTGTAGTGACTAACAGCCTTGGTGACCTTTGTGACCTCACAGACTTCATTCATCTCAGCTCTTTCCTTGGTGAACACATATTGTAAAACTGTGAATTGATTATTGGAAACATTTCTTCTGACAAGGTCCCACACTTGAAAAATACGCCGGGAGCAGTGGCTCACACCTGTAATCCCAGCACTTTGGGAGGCCGAGGCGGGCAATTCACGAGGTCAAGAGATTGAGACCATCCTGGCCAACATGTGGTGAAACCCCGTCTCTACTTAAAAATACAAAAATTAGCTGGGCGTGGTGGTGCGCACCTGTAGTACCAGCTATCGGGACGCTGAGGCAGGAGAATTGCTTGAACCCAGGAGGTAGAGATTGCAGTGAGCCGAGATTGTGCCATTGCACTCCAGCCTGGTGCCTAGCAACAGAACAAGACTGTCTCAAAAAAAAAAAAAGAAAGAAAAATACTTCAAAAACATCACCTAACAAGCAGAACAAGCATGAATGGGTAGACACTGATTAGACATTTAAAAATAAACACAAAAGGGAGAAGGCAAAAATTATTTTTGTTTACATTTGTTTTAATTGTGTTATTTATTGATCATTTTTTATATTATAAAATCAGTATCTTTCTATGACCCCCTCCCAAATCAAAATATAGAAAGATAAGAAGAAAAGGAAAACATACCAGTGACCCTTCTCCCGCATTAACACTTTAATGGTGTGTGTGCTGTCATAATCTTTGCTGTGCGTACACACCCAAAAAGTAATGTATATAGGCATATATATTTAAAAACATACCAGTGACCCTTCTCCCGCATTAACACTTTAATGGTGTATGTGCTGCCGTAATCTTTGCTGTGCGTACACACCCGAAAAGTAATGTATATAGGCATATATATTTAAAAAGTCAAAATGTGTATTATTTTAGTCTGTTTATTTATTTTTAATAATCATTGGGACCTGCAAGTTTCTTTTTTTTTCTCTCTCTTTTTTTTTGAAAGAAAGAAAAAAAGGAGTGGAGAGGAAGAAAAAGAGGGAGAGAAAATGGGAATGTAGCTTTATTCTAAAAATGGGTATTAATAATGGCCGATCAATATTTTGTGTATTTAAGGTGGAGAATGTATATTTTGTATATTTAAAATGGAGAGCTCTATAAATATTTGAGTTTACTTGTTCCGGATCTGAGTTCAAGTCCTGGATATCCTTACTAATTTTCTGTCTCGTTGAGTCTAAATTTTTCTATGAGTCTTATGTATATGGGTGTTAGGATCGTTAGCTCTTATTGTTGCACTGATCCTTTTACCACTGTATCTTTGTTGCTTTGAAATCTATTTTATCAGATGTGAGAATTGCAACTCTTGCTTTTTATTTATTTATTTATTTTTGCTCTCCATTTGGTTGGTAAATCTTTCTCCATCTCTTTGTTTTAAGTCTTCGTGTATCTTTGGATGTGAAATGGGTCTGGATGTAGCATATCGTTAGGTTTTGGCTGTATCTTTTGATTGGGGGATTTAGTCGACTTAAATTTAGGGTTACTGCCATTTGATGTTAACTGGGTATTTTATCCATTCATTGACATAGATTCTTCTTTATGTTGATGCTCTTTACTTTTGGGTATATTTTTAGAAAGGCTAATACTGGTTGTTCCTTTCTATGTATAATGCTTCTTTCAGAAGCTCTTGTAAAGCTGGCCCGGTGGTAATAAAATCTCTGAGTACTTGCTTGTTCATAAAAGATTTTATTTTTCCTTCAATTGTGAAGATTAGTTTGGCAGGATATGAAATTCTGGGCTGCAAGTTCTGTTCTTTAAGGCTGTTGAATATTGGCCCCCACTCTCTTCTGGCTTGTAGGGTTTCTGCTGAGAGATCTGCTGTAAGTCTAATAGGCTTCCCTTTATGGGTAACCTGACCTTTGTCTCTGGCTGCCCTTAGTATTTTCTCCTTCGTTTCAACCCTGGTGAATCTAATGATTATGTGCCTTGGGGTTGCTCTTCTTGAGGAATATCTTTGTGGTGTTCTCTGTATTACCTGGGGTTGAATATTGTGCTGCTTTGCTAGATTCGGAAAGTTTTCCTGAATAATATCCTGAAGAGTATTTTCCAGCTTGGATTCATTTTCTTCATCATATTCAGGTACACCTATCAAACGTAAATTAGGTCTTTTCACGTAGTCCCATATTTCTTGGAGACTTTGCTCATTCCTTTTTATCCTTTTTTCTCTATTCTTGTCTTCTCGTTTTATGTCATTAAGTAGGTCTTCGACCTCTGATACCCTTTATTCTGCTTCATCAATTCGGCTATTCAAACTTGTGCGTATTTTGCTAAGTTTTTGTGTTGTGTTTTTCAACTCCGTTAGTTCATTTATATTCCTCTCGATATTGTCTATTCTTGTTAGCATTTCGTCAAACCTTTTTTCAAAGTTCTTAGTTTCTTTACATTGGGTTAGAACAAGTTCTTTTAACTCCCAGAAGTTTCTTATCATCCACCTTCTGAAGCCTACTTCTGATAATGGCACACAGTCCTTTTCCATCAAGGCGTGTTCCGTTGCTGATGAGGAACTGTGATCCCCTGTAGAGAGAGAGGGGTTCTGATTTTGGGTATTCTCAGCCTTTTTAGGCTGGTTTCTTCCCTTTGTTATAAATTTATCCATCTGTCGTCTTTACAGTTACCGCCTTTCTAGTTGGGTTTCTGAGTGGATGCCCAGTTTACTGATTCCCAGTGCTGGAATCTGAGCAACCCACTGTGCTGGCCAAAACAGCAGCGATAAGACTGATGGTGCTCTTTTGCCTGGGAATCTCTTCCCGTTTACTCTGCACGAAGAGCTGCCGCGCCGAGGAGCCGGCCACAAGCGTCACGCTGGTGACCCGTGGGGCCCCTCCACTGGGAATCTTCTGGTCCGTGAGCGACGAAAATTCGTCTGAAAGTGTGGCGTCCTCTCGTTCTTTGCACTTTGACTGGGAGCTACAATCCCGAACTGTTGGCGATCAGCCATCTTGGATCTCTCTTTGTATATTATTTTAAATATCAAAATACAGTATACTTGTGTATGTACATACATATATGTGTGTGTATATGTGCATATATATACACATGTACATACATATATATATGTACACATTTACATACTGTATTTTGACATTTAAAACAGACCAGGTGTGGTGGCTCACACCTGTAATCGCAGCACTTTGGGAGACCTAGGCAGGAAGATCACTTGAGCCCAAGAGTTCAAGAGCAGTCTGGGTGATATAGAGAGACTTTGTCTCTACAAAAAAAATAAAGAAATTAGCTGAGTGTGGTGGCGAGTGCCTGTAACCCCAGCTACTGGTGAGGCTGAAGTGGGAGGAATCACTTGAGCCTGGAAGGAGGAGGTTACAGTGAGCCAAGATCATGCCACTGTACTCCAGCCTGGGTAATACAGGACCGTATCTCAAAAAAAAGAAAAAAGATACACATGCTCAAGATGTCAAGATGTGGCTTCCGCATTTTGCTGTATTATTTCCCCTAGTGTAAGTTCTTGTGAACGTCAGTTTAGAGGATATCTTTTACTTGACCTAATAGCTTTTCTTCCTTTTCCTAACGTTCTACCTCATCTGTCTCTTACTTACTCTTGGTGTTCTTCTCTGTTGTTTAGAATTTAAATAAATTTTTTTCCATTTGAGACTCTCTGTGTTCCTATGTCTAGAAACATCCAGAAATCTTAATGTCTTGCATCTGCTGCACCGTTAACTTTTATAAAAGGACTGTCTCCTGTGATAAATCTTGCTGCTTGTTTGCAGTGGTGGGGCCTGATGCTATAGCATTGGGTTCTCAAACTGCATGAGTTTGTGCGTTGTGTCCCCCACACAGGCAGTAACACATAGTTTGAATCGCCACATAAATTGCATAGTAGCCATAGGAAATACTCGTGCAGTACTTCAGAGTTCACACTGTTATTATATCCTTATAACAGTATTTTCTTCACAGGATTATTATCCCCTTCTTGTGGTTGAAACTGAAGAGGTATTACTTCCTGCATCCAACAGCTAGTATACGGCTTGAACCTAAGCTGTCTGATTGCATGTCTCCTTGGTCATGCCATTAAATCATGCCTTTCTCTGTTTGGGTAAAGATCGTGATGGGTAACTCAGCCTTGCCTTTCAGTGTTATGGAATTTTTATTTTATTTATTTATGTATTTGAGTTCTCAGTAGTCTTCAGTCTCCTGTTGACTGGAACTCCCATCCAGAACAGCCTCCAAGAGCTCTACTCCCTCCTCAGTTTTGTGGAACCTGATCTTTTTTCCAAGGAAGAGGTGGGAGATTTTGTTCGACGGTACCAGGATATTGAGAAAGAGTCTGAGTCAGGCAAGTTCCTTTCCTACTAATTATCCCCAAGAAGTCTTGGCACAGAAACCATCCTCATGCATAATGGTTATAGGTAGAAGAGAACTGATGGCCAGAGACCACCTTCCAGGGAGACAGAGAGCCACAGATATTTGGGAGATATTAGATCACACACGTTGTTCCCAGTTGTCTGCTATTCATGACTCTCTTAATTGTTTACTATATGATTCCATAGTAGGGCTTCTCTAGTTCATTTTTGGAAGAAATAGGAAGTGCCTGCTGATTTGCAGACTATTTTTTTCCAACTTGTATTTTCAATAAAGACTTTGTTATCTTTATATGTCACTTCCTGAGGGAGAAAAGGATGTGAATGCTGTAGTCTCAAACTACTGTTTAGCATTCTGCAGCACTGGTATTTCTTTTAATGCTGCACCAAAACCAGAATTCTGAGATGGGAACCCTTCCTCTTTCATATAGCCGAGAGTTATAGTCTTCTATTCTTGTATCTTTGTGCCTCTGTGTTGTAGGATTATCTGTCTATTTTTGTGATATTCTCCTGGGATGATTTTTCAAAACAGATGGGAGGTATGCCAAATAGTGAGTTTGTTATGTACTTGGTAAGTGTGAGTTCGAGGGGCTTCTCAGAGCAAAAATCCCCAGACCACAGACTGAAGATTACGTGGCGAACTTGCTCTGATTACTCCCATGTTTTGGGTTACCTGATAAAATATAAGACTTCTAGTCAAATGCATGACATACTTGTATTACATAGGACACACTTGTGTTAAAAAGTTGTTCATTATTTATATGAAATTCCCATTGAGCTAGGCACCTATATTTGCATATCTGGGAATCCTACAGGGGTGTAATTCTAATTTAGAATAATTTTTGAAATTCAAGACATCTGGGGAAAGAATAAGGGATTTAAAGTCATAAAACCAAATTTGAATGCTGGCCACATTCACATCCAGCTGTGTGACTTCGGATAAGTTGCCCAGTTTCTGAGCCTCATTTAACTCAGCTATAAATAAAAATGGGGACAGTATTTCTCTCACCTGAAATTTCTAAGCTGTTATGCTGAGCAATGAGATTAAATACAAAAATGCTCTAGAAACAAAAGAGCTTTGTTGATATGAGATTAGTAAGAATCTAGTTCTTTGGGTGTTCCTAGTTCTTGGGTTAAGAACCAGTAATGATTCCAGAAATAATTGGGAAGAAGATCCTAGTGAAGGAAGAAGTGCTGAGAAAAATGACCATCTGGCCAAGTGCAGAATAAGCGTGAAATGAGAAACAAAAATAAATTCCTTTAAGTTCTCTAGTAGTTCATTGCCTTGGTTCTACTTTTGTCCCTTGCTTCTTGTATTTTTTTTTATTATATAGCTAGTGAACTGCACAAACTCTTGCAGCCATTTCTGCTGAGGCGAGTGAAAGCTGAGGTAGCTACAGAGCTGCCCAGGAAGACAGAAGTAGTGATATACCACGGCATGTCAGCATTGCAGAAGAAATACTACAAGGCCATTTTGATGAAAGACCTAGGTAATCAGAGGGCACCTGTTCATTTAGAAACTAAATGAGGATGTGATTTCATGTAGTAAAATATTTTATAATCACACTTATTTGTATGATCCCAAGAATATGAGGTGGAATTTTGTATTGCGAATAATTCCGGTCAGCTACCACGGGACTGTGGTGGAGCTTCTTAAATGTAACTCAGCCTTGGTTGGTGCAGTTGTGAAATTTCCTTTTCTCCCCTCACTCAGTTTTTCTTACTGCCTGTAATTAAGCAAACACTTCTAAGTGTCCTAGTCATGCCTTTCATCCTCCCCCCCGTCAGATATGGTAGTCCACCCTCATCTGCAGTTTTGCTCTCCAAGGTTTCAGTTACCTGCACTGAACTAGAGTCTGAAAATATTAAATGGAAGATTCCAAAAATAATTCGTGAATTTTAAATTAAACTCTGTTGTTAGTAGCGTGATGAAATCTCACTCCGTTCCACCCAGGACATGAATCCTCCTTTTGTTCTGTTATCCATGCCGTCCGCATTAGTGGCTGCTCTGTCATCAGTCTGATAGTCGTGGTATCGTAGTGCTTTTGTTCAGGTGACCTTTATTTTACCTAAAAATGGCCCCAAAGCACAAGAGTAGTGATGCCTGCATTTTGACTATGCCAAAGAAGCCATAGAGTGCTTCTTTTAAGCAAAAAAGGTTTAAGTTCTCAAAAAAATGAAAAAAAAATTCTATACCGAGATTGCTAACAACAAATCTTCTGTGACATTGTGAACAGTATATTGTTATAATTGTTGTATTTTTATTATGAGTCATTGTTAATCTTTTACTTTGCCAAATCAAACTTTATCATAGGTGTATAGGAGAAAACACAGAATGCATATAGGGTTTGGTACTATCTGTGTTTCCAGTATCCACTGGGGGTCTTAGAACATATTCCCCATGGATAAGGGAGAACTGCTGTGTTTAAGAGAATGCAAAACTTTTTTGTTGAATCAAATTCACTGGGAGGAATTGGGAGTGGCAAGGGAGAGAGAGGGGTGAAATAATTTCTCAGTTTGCATTTCTTTGTCCCTTGACTCCACAACAACAGTTAAAGAAAATTTAGAATTTGCAGAAGAGTAACAGAGTACTCCTGAGTTCAATTCATACTTGAGGGGTCTTTCCTAAAACAAAATGGTTAGGGAAATTTTATACGAACATGATGTTAATTCTCAGTTCAATTCAGTGAAATTTGGGAGGTTAACGTAGGTTCGAAGGATATAATTGAAATGATTACGGTTATTTCTAGAAACTCAGGGTTTTGGTTTTTGTTTTGTTCAGTAGGCCATCTCTCTCTTTCTCTCCCCCCCCCTTTTTTAAAATTTCAGATGCATTTGAAAATGAGACAGGAAAGAAAGTTAAACTTCAGAACATCTTGTCCCAGCTTCGAAAGTGTGTGGATCACCCATACTTGTTTGATGGTGAGGCAGTGCCCTTTCCCCCACATTATTCTTTGTTAACATTTCTGTGGCCGAATCATACCAAAATTCTTCAGAATAATTGCATATACTTACTGTGTCTACTTTGTTTATTCTCAGTTTTCTGTATTAGTGTTAAGTCATATATTGTTCATTTTCAAATATCCTCAGTTGTCCAATATCCATCCCTTCTAACTATGTTTTTTTTTGTTGTTAAATCCATGATCCTGCAGATCCTGCACTGCATTTGTCATGTCTTTTTATTTTCCTATAAAACCTACAAACATTTTTCAGAGTGTTTTTTTTGCCCTTTTTTTCTTTCATGCATGAAGAGTCAAGACCGATAGTTCTATGAAATGCATGATAATTTGGATGGATTTGATCATTTCTTCGTGATTCGATTTCCCATTGTCTTGAACCCACTCAGCCTTTCGTCACCACTGTTCCAGGTCTGCCAGTGATCGCCCTGTTGCCCAGCTGGTGGTTATTTGTTAGTTCATGTTTCAGTTACCCTCTCAGAAGCCTTGAGCACAGCTGATCACTTCTTTCTTGAAGCCCTTCCTCCCTCGGCTTCTGGGATATACTTTCTCTTCTCCATCTGCTCCTTCTCAGTCTCCTTCGCTGCTTCCCCTCATCATGCAGACCTCTGTAAATTTCCCCTGAGCACTGTTGTAGCTGCGTCCTAGGGATTTTGATGTGTAGTGTTTTTGTTTTTCTTCAGACTGGGGCTTTTTTGATTCCCCGATTGTTAGCCCTTGGAGCAAGCACTCCTGTGGCCGTGGATACTCTACGCATGATCAGTACAGAGGGTTTGCTGCAGTTACTTTAAGGGGATCTCTGCCGAGCGGTGCTACAAACTATTTAAAGATAGTACAAAATCTTAAGTAGGCACATATGAGAACTTTTTTAAGAGGAGGGGGCAGTGGGAACACGTAGGTTTTGAAAGAAGCCCTCCAGGTTATTCTGACTGCCATTTTGATTTATTTTGTAGAGTGAGTCTCAGGATTTCAGTTTTAGGTGTCCTTGACCTTTAGCATCCTCTTCTGCCTCAGTTTTCTGAAGAGTGGTTTTATTCCTTAGATAGACGTTTATTAGGCTTGTTAGATATGCCAGACTCTAACTGGTGTTAAGCAGAACTGAGATCATCATGCAAACAACTACTTATAAGAGGAGCTTGGCTTCTCTTCCTGTAGCTTAACTATTGGCTTCTGCCCTTACTGAGGGCACATGACTGGGAGTGGGTTCTTTCTTTTCTAGGTGTGGAGCCAGAGCCTTTTGAAGTTGGAGACCACCTGATTGAAGCTAGTGGGAAACTTCACCTGCTGGATAAGCTACTAGCGTTCCTGTATTCCAGGTAGGTGGTAGGTTCACATTTGCTGCTCTGAGCTAATGACTGTTGCGACTTGACTATTGAGGAACTCACTGAGTTGTTGAGGCCAATTCCAGTTTTCTTTTTTTCTTAATGCTGTTTCAGGTTTTGCCTTCTCTGTGACGACACTCGCACCCCATCCCTTCCACAATCATTCTTTTCTTTCCTGAGTTTCTACAGCACTTAGGATCCCAATCCAGCACTTGGCAGTGGGCTGCGTTAATCTGCTGTCTGGTTAATTGGTGTTTGTTAACTCTGTCACTCCAGCTATGTTGTTTGGCTCCACAAGGACAGAGACAACACTGAGCATTTCTTTTATAGTTGCCTGTAGTAACTTGCATTGAATTGACACATAATGAAGGCTCAGTAAGCATTCATTTTTGTTAACCTGTGGGGTTTGATTTGAACTCACCGGGAACTTGAAGGACTCTTTCTCAGAGACATGATTTGGGCATTAGAAGACCAGATTCAGTTAGTGTTCAGCAGCCATGTGTTCAGCTTATAGCTGAATCCTCCTAGTCACCAGAGAGAAAGCAGGGTCTAGGAATGTGCAAGTGAAATAATTTCATGTCTTACTGTATTTCACTGTTCTCATACAGCTGCCGTAAGTATGTTAGAGTTGGAAAAGGACCCATAATTGCCTTCTCCCCAGTTTTTTATTTCACAGACCCAGAAAGGTTACATGACTTGCCCAAGGTCACACAGCCAGCAAATGGCAGAAATGAGATTAGAATTGAGGTTTTCAGGTTCAGCGCTTTCTCTAACCGTTTGAGGCTTGAATCTTGAAAGAGTTCCCCATAATTACTCCTCTTAAACTTGTTGCAAGCTCAGATTAAATAAGTTTTTATAATGAGAATATTGTTTTGACAGCGCTGTGCTTCTTTGTTTATGTAAATTTAGAATAATAGCCACTAACGAGGGACTCTGGGCTTGACTTTATTCTTGACTAATACGTTTTTATAATGAGAATATTGTTTCGACAGTGCTATGCTTTTTTGTTTATGTAAATTTAGCATAATAGCCACTAACAAGGGACTCTGGGCTTGACTTTGCTCTTGACTTACTCCATCATTTTGCCTCCTCCTTTCTTCCCTCCTCTCATGTATACAAAAATTTTCTCATGTATCATGGAAAGTGAGAGGTCACTTACCCCTTGCTTTTCTAATGTAATGCTTCTCAGACTTTTCAACCAATATAGCTGTAAATGAGAGGATAGTGACTATATCCCCAAACAGGGAACAGCTGTAGATGACTAAACACAAGCTTTCTTCAGAGTCTCCAGTATTCCTTTTTTTGTGCATATGAATTTTGCATTTTACACTTCACATCTGTATTTATTTTGCTACTAAAATGAAAGCTTCTATTTCTTTCCATTGAGCAAATGGACATTCCAGAAAGAGGCACCGTGTTTATTCTAGGGCTTATATCCCCTGTTGAATTGGCATGTCCCCTGGGAATAATCTCCACTCTGGTTCTGAGGGATGCAGCTACCTGTGGAGGTATATTCTTGTAGAAAGCATTTGCAGTTTCTAAGGCAGTCTATAAATTATATGACATTTATATTTCTACTTCAGTATTTATAAACTTGTATTCTTTGGTAAGTTTTGACTGAGGGAAATTTACCTTGAATATCACTAGACTTGCAGTGTTTCCATTTCTCTTTTTCTTGCCAGGGGCCATCGGGTTTTACTTTTCTCCCAGATGACGCAGATGTTGGATATTCTTCAAGACTATATGGATTACAGAGGTGACACCTTTTGGCCACTACATTACCTAAGGCTCTATTAGACATAATAGGCCAGACAGGTCCATGAAGAATAATATGGGATATGAGAATATTTCAAAGGAAAGCAGAGTGAGAACTATTCAGAACCAAAAGATCAAAAGTAAAGTGAGAGGAGAGTGATAGGTGAAGGCAAGGATGGAGAGCAGAGAAGAACACGTGGGCAGAAATAAACACCTACGTTCCCATCAGTTATGTGATGTAAAATGATAGGCCGTGGAGCAAATGTCGTGGAAATGTTGGTGTTTCTGAAAATGTATATAAACAAAGTTTTGGTGACTAGAGCTTTTAGTGTCTTGTAACAGTCACCTCAATAGTTGAGCACTTAGGATCAGTAAAAAGGTGAATATTGAAATTATAGAGATACCAAATAAGGCAGGGGAAAAGTAAGATCAACTTTTTCTATATAGATGATAGAGAATGTAGTTTATTACCTGGGAAGTCTGTTTAATATGTGATAAGATTTATGTGAAATGATGAGAAAAGGCTCTAACATGAGTTGATCTTGAACCCAGTGGTAAAGAACTGTCAGCTCCAGACCTTACAATTTAAAAAAGTAGTCCAGACCGGGTCTCTGTGTATCTGGTCCAATGGACACTTGGAGGAATGCTGATGGCACACGCCACTGGCCATTGAGAGGTCCCCAGATGCACAAACACAGCCTGAGCTTGTAGCCACCCTTCCCCACATGGATGCATGGAGACAGGTGGTGACCTCTTAAAGCCTCATTGAAAGGCAGATTGCTGGGCCATTAGAAGGGCTCACTCACCTGCTTCCAAGTGCTTGTCTTCTGTTTACATAGGTAAGAATTATGTGTCAGTAAAATTGAAGCTACCACACAGGATAGATGTTCAGGGTTGCTTACAAATAGTCAAAACTGAGGATTAACTCCATAAATGCCAAGGCTTCATGTATTTAAAAAATCCAGAGTATGTTATATGGTAAGTTCTTTTGTAAAATGATCATTGTCCCTGTTTAAATTTTTCCTGTGGAATTTGCTTAAAGCAGGGCCATGCCTGTATATGAAAAGGGACAAAATTGGCCTTTGGTTTTGGGCTAACTTAATTTTTTTATTCCCCAAAGACTACTTGAAAAGGGTTACAATTTCTGTTTTTCTTCCTCTCTCTAAAGGCTACAGCTATGAGCGTGTGGACGGTTCTGTGAGAGGAGAAGAGAGACACTTGGCCATTAAGAACTTCGGACAGCAGCCCATTTTTGTTTTCCTCCTGAGTACTAGGGCAGGTAGGCTGCATAGGCATTAATGGAAACAGACAATGAGGAGTAACAAGAGTACTATTGCATCCCACTATTGCTACACTTTTTTCCTTAATTCTCTGAAAGGTGAGGTTATTACTGAATGTAAATAGGGTACTGGACTTCAAGCATAGTGCTCTGTTCTATCCAAGCTGTCCAAGATGTCATCTCATCAAAGACGTTAAGGCTGAAACCTGGGGTTATTGGAAGGTAATTCTCATCTACTTTGACCATTCACCTGAGAATGTCCTGAAAGTTTTCTGTAATTTTGTGGAATGTTTCATTTATATTCAGTGGAGGTAGCTCTTCTTCCTAACCATGAATTTGGGAAATAAGGTAACGGTTTGTCTGCTAGTTGTCCTTCCTTTATAAGTATTTCTGGAATAATGTTGAAAAGCTTAGCAAAAATCCAGTTGTTTAAAAAATGTTATTATGTTGAAACTACCAACTTTTTAGAATTCTTTATAACATTGTCCATATATCACTTAAATCATAAATAATATGGCATTTGTAATGCTTTACCAGTCACAGAATGCTTTCATATATTCTTACATAATTTGGAATCAGCTCTTGGAGATGAAATGATTCTCTAAGTCATTATGGTGTCTGAAAAAAAAAAAAAAACTGGTGCAGTGGCTTATGCCTGTAATCCCAGGACTTTGGGAGGCCAAGGTAGGTGGATCACTGGAGGTCGGGAGTTGAAGACCAGCCTGGCCAGCATGGTGAAACCCTATCTGTACTAAAAAAAAATACAAAACTTAGCTGGGTGTGGTGGTGCGTGCCTGTAATCCCAACTACTAGGGAGGCTGAGACAGGAGAATTGCTTGAACCCAGGAGGCAGAGGTTGCAGTGAGCTGAGATTGCACCACTGCACTCCAGCCTGGGTGACAGAGTGACTCTGTCTCAAAAATAAAATAAATTATTCTCATGTCCTGGAGCAAGCTGACCTTAGTTTTGAACTCATAGGATCCTAGTTTCATTATCTTATTTTTATAGACATAAATCTTGATGGAATACATGCAGGAACATTAAAGGGATATGTGTGCTCTATTAAAGACAGATTGATATTTTTCTGAAAAAATAGAGTTCAGTCTTATGTAGAAACTGTTATAAATGTCTAGTACTATAAGGGCATATGAAAGAAGTGTTAGATATAATCTGTGATTATAAGGAGATTATTTCACCTGTGTTTGTTTTATCTCCCTAATAAAAATAACACAAGATTCATATGGCCTTACTGTTCAAAGATCGTAAACTGCACACAGAATCGCGCCATTTTCTCATGTGATCTAGTCTCAGGGCTAGTCTTAGGAGAAAATGAAAGAATAAGGCAGTGCATCATCACTGTCGGGGAGACAATTTTATTTATGCTTTGATGATTTCATCATCTTCATATTCAGAGAGCAGCATTATATTTGAAATGTCTAAAATTAGGAAAAAAGAGATCTCTGCTTTTCAGTTCATCTCCTTGGAGGACTCAGGGTAGATCTTCTGGGAACTGAAGCAGTCTCGGACATGCCTTTTCCAAACACTGACTGTTGTGTTTGCTGTGGTTTTACAGGATTTTCATTTATTTAACAGGTATCCTTCCAGCTTTCAAATATTTCTGTGATTGAGTCATATTGCCAGCAGATGGCAGTGATAGCTCATGAATATGTTTCAAACACGGCTGTAGCTTATTTATAAAAATCTCACCCCTCAGTGAAGAAGAGCTGCACTTAGACAACAGGAATTCAAGGAGATAATTTTATGGAACACATTTTGAAATGCAATAAGTGCCTGAACAGTATTACAGTATAGTGGATAAAAGCTCGGGCTCTGGACCCAGACTGCAAAGGAATGAATCTTTCACCTTCTAGCCTTGTAACTTCAGAGAAGTCCCTTACCTGCCCTTTCAACATTTATAAAGTGGGGATAATCATAGCAATTGCTCAGCTTCCCAACAGAGTTGTTATGAGGGCTAAAGGAGTTAATATATAGAGAGTGCTCAGAACAATGCCTGGCAAGTTGTAAGCACAGCGTAAGTGTAACTATCATTATTATTAGGTATAATTTATCATCGCTCAGTAATCATTCATGATTACCTCCTTGTTCCAACTTCAACTTGATATGAAGACTTTAATTAGAATATTCCTGCCTGACTTATCTGGAGATCCAGTTTATGGCAAATAGTCCTTCTCAAAAGTTAGTCCCTAATTCAGGTTCATGGAACAAGCCCTTCCAGGCTTGCTGGTTTCAATACCAATAAGTCTAGCAACCCTGGCAAGAGGGAGTCGGCTTTTTACTTGTTGTCACATTAATCAGAGAAAGCCGCAATTTACCTTCATCGTTCTCTTAATTAATTCCTGTAATCCAAGGTACCTCCTCAGCTTTCTTCCTGCAGCACCGAGGAAAGACCAGCAGGTTGTTCCATGGAGTTTTCTTGTCTTGCCATTGGTTTTGTTACTTTCTCTTTGATTAATGTGGAAACAAGTACAAAAAAGATGGACTGGAGTGTTCTCTAATGACAGGGAGGTGGTTTCCCACTCTGCCCAGGAGTATATCATCCCTTCTTCTTGTTACCTTTTTATCAGCGATCAGCGATCTTACTACCTAGTTGTAACTTGCAGGCGACATTCAGCGCTCTTGACAGTGCCCACAGCAGATCTTGTAGTTAGATCTGTTTTCTTTCTTTCTTTTTTCTTTCTTTCTTTCTTTTTTTTTTTTTTTGTGAGATAGTCTTACTCTGTTGCCCAGTCTGGAGTGCAGTGGTGTAATCTCGACTCACTGCAACCTCTGCCTCCTCAGTTCAAGCGATTCTCCTGCCTTGGCTTCCCGAGTAGCTGGGACTACAGGCACATGCCATCACACCCAGCTAATTTTTGTATTTTTAGTAGAGATGGGGTTTCACCATATTGGCCAGGATAGTCTTGATCTCTTGACCTCATGATCCACCTGCCTCAGCCTCCCAAAGTGCTGGGATTACAGGCTTGAGCCACCCAGTCTAGGTCTGCTTTCTGAAAGAGCATGTGTCCTTTTCCTGAGACTACTCAAATCAAAATCTAATCAAGATTTTTAAGCAGAAGAGATAAAGTGGCACTAACTTAAGTATCCACTTTTGCCACTTGCCCTTGTTCCACTCATTCTGTTGCATTCAGTAATAAAATTTTCCCATCAGGCAGTAAGAGGTCAGGTAGCACTTCTCGCTGCCAGAACAAGGCTCTGGAGTTGGGGGTATGGGTTCATTTGAAGGATGAAGCCAGTTTATTTGGTTGATTTCCATTTGTCGGTGTAACCCACACTAGCCTTGTGTTTATTTTCTAGCTCCTTGTCCGTGTGCTGCTGATTCCGTTCCTTTTTGCATTGTTTTCAGGTGGAGTTGGCATGAACTTAACGGCAGCAGATACTGTGATTTTTGTGGACAGTGACTTCAACCCTCAGAATGACTTGCAAGCAGCTGCCAGGGCTCATCGAATTGGCCAAAACAAGTGAGTGGTTTGTTTTCTGCTTCCTTGGCTTGCCCAGCAGCAGTTCCAGGTTGTGAGGTAGGTGAAGAATATAGTCCTGGCGACAGTCCCACACTGGGAGCTGAGGGACCACCAGGTCTTAGCCCATCTGTGCTGTTGACTCCTAGGTTAGTATTGGAGGGTGGGTCACATCAGTCCAGACTGACTTTATTAGAAAGAGTAAAATCACACTGTGAAAGGATTAGAAAGAAACTTTAGAAGTTATTTAACTCATCCTTGAGTTAGGCTGTAACTCAGTTAAAAAATGGGGTTATGGGCCGGGTGCGGTGGCTCATGCCTGTAATCCCAGCACTTTGGGAGGCCGAGGCGGGTGGATCACGAGGTCAAGAGATTGAGACCATCCTGGTCAACATGGTGAAACCTCGTCTCTACTAAAAATACAAAAAAATTAGCTGGGCATGGTGGCGCGTGCCTGTAATCCCAGCTACTCAGGAGGCTGAGGCAGGAGAATTGCCTGAATCCAGGAGGTGGAGGTTGCAGTGAGCCGAGATCGCGCCATTGCACCACAGCCTGGGTAACGAGCGAAACTCCATCTCAAAAAAAAAACAATGGGGTTATGGAGCTAAGCTTAAAAAAAATAGATGTTACCGTTTGATCTGAGGATAATTTGATCTTCCAGAGGTTTTCCTTGGCCATAGGTAAGGAATCCCAGTCATGGTTTCCCCATCATTCTTTCCTTGACTCTTCCAACGGTTCAGAGAGAATTTGAGGCGAGTTCTCTCTAACAAGTACTCAGGTCCAAATGAAACAGTCTCCCTTTCGTTGTTGGCTTTTAGATCTATTTACGCCACATACTTCTGCCCAGTTTTGCAGACCCTTATAGCGCACTACTCTGGTTTGACGTATGTCTAGGTCAGTTAAAGTTATTCGGCTGATTGGCCGAGACACTGTGGAAGAAATCGTCTATAGGAAAGCAGCCTCCAAACTGCAGCTCACCAACATGATCATAGAAGGAGGCCATTTCACTCTGGGAGCCCAGAAACCCTCAGCCGATGCTGACCTCCAGGTATGATACATTGTTCTTTGCTTTGGAATATGCCAGTACCCTTTGTGGAGGACAATGTGAATGAAAAGAACCAGCACTCCCCAGCCGCTCTCCCCAGCTACACATTCGTTCCCTGGCCTCCCTCATACCTGCCGCAGTGCTGGCTGTGTGCAGAGTCTGTAGAAACCAAGGATTCAGATCCAAGCCTCATCACTTCTTGGCTCTCTGGGTTTGAGCAGCTTTTTAACCGCTTAGATCTACTCTTTTTGCATTTCTAAAAGTAAAGACACCACTGGTTACCTCAGAGGGCTGTTAAGAGAATTAGTTAAAATAAAGAACTCAGCATAGTCAGTAACAATTAATTCTGTACTTCCTCCTTAATCCCAGACTCTTTGATCAGTGACTTACATTACTTCATACTCAGAGGAGGGCGAATGAGATCAGGAATTCAAAATTGTACCATAGGAAAAATGGGTGAAAGAACTAGAGGTAATTTGCTTGAAGAAGGGAATACTGGATGGGAGACAGATGTGGGTTTGGAAGATTTTAGAGCTCTCTTTTGGAAGAGGACTTAGAGTTATTCTGTAGCAGCCCTTGGGTTAAAATTAGAACTCATAGTATTTCCTGGATCTGTTGGAAATGGACTTTTGCCCTAAGGATGAGGGGCTGGATGCAAAGAGACCAACTCCCTAGGATATGAGAAAGATGCAGATATGAACGGAGTAATGAATGTCTGTCAAGGGCAGTATCAGTGGGAGGATCTGGTGTGAGAAGCATTGTAAAAGAGGGAAGGATGGGAGTCGGCTGCTATTTAGAGGTGGGTCTCAACAGTGGGGAGATAGAAAATTCAAAGACTGTGAGGTTTGGAGCCATATGATGAGGAGAGTAGAAAGGAAAATAGGTAGGTCAGAATTTTAGGAAGATAAAGGTAATTTAGGCTTTAGAGTATGTAGTAAAAATACAATATAAACATAAACTATTGTTAGAGGCAGACTGAGGGACAAAAGGAAAGAATTTTATTTGCAAAAGTTTGCAAGAAAGACTAGGCTTTGAAAGGACTAGTCTATCAAAAAGTACAAGTGTTTAAGAGGAAAAAATTATGCAATAATACAAGCAGAGTTACCAAGTTTGTAATTAGTCTGAGCATGGGTTAGAAAGCAGTCTTCTTTCACGTGGTTACCATATGTGCAAAGGCCAGTGCGTATCTTTACCTATCAGCATTGCAAAAGCAGGGATCGTGTCTTTGTTAGGGAGTCAGTCATTACAGGAAAGGTTCAAGGGTTCATTAATTTGGGGACTAGAACTAGAAAGAGTAACCCTGAGTGTTATTTATTTGTTCTTTGTGTATCTTAGGGGGTAAGTGTGGCTTTTTTCTTTTTCTGTCTTTCCTTTTGTTGCTGATTCGGCATCACATGCTTGCTTAATTAACCACAGTGGTGGTAGGGCAGGCTGTACATTTTAATTTCACACTAAGAGACAGTTACAAACATGAGAAGAAAGCTGGAGAGAGGTAGAAGTACACGGTAGATACTTTCATTTTTTAAATTTTTATTTTACTTTTTAGTATACTTTAAGTTCTGGGTTACACGCACAGAACGTGCAGGACTGTTACATAGGTATGCATGTGCCGTGGTGATGTGCTGCATCTAATACCCCGTCATCTACATTAGGTATTTCTCCTAATGCTCTCCCTCCCCTAGCCCCCCACCCCATGACAGGCCCTGTGTGTGATGTTCCCCTCCCTGTGTCCATGTGTTCTCATTGTTCAACTCCCACTTATGAGTGAGAACATGTGATATTTGGTTTTCTGTTCTTGTGTTAGTTTGCTGAGAATGATGGTTTCCAGCTTCATCCATGTCCCTGCCAAGGACATGAACTCGTTCTTTTTTATGGCTGCATGGTATTCCATGGTGTAGATGTGCCACATTTTCTTTATCCAGTCTATCATTGATGGGCATTCCAAGTCTTTGCTATTGTGAATAGTCCTGCAATAAACATATGTGTGCATGTGTTTATTGTCTGTGTCTTTATAGTAGAATGATTTGTAATCCTTTGGGTATATACCCAATAATGGGATTTCTGGGTCAAATGGTATTTCAGGTTTTAGATTGAGGAATTGCCACTCTGTCTTCCGGTACACTGTAGATACTCTTAAATGCAGTTTTCCACAGAACAGTTCCCCATAGAACCTGAGAGAAGGTCATGGCTGGGCATGGTGAAGGGGTAAATGACAGAGCCTCAGAAGGCTTGCATTCTCTTTAGAGGAGGAAGGATGTCATAAGGTGTTTGCACTCTCCCAGTAGAGGGAGCTCCAGGGTTCCAGTGAGAAGTATGTGGGCTGCTGGACACATCATTGGGAAATGTGTAGACACACCTCCACCCCAGGGGGCCACATACTAGTGGGAACATAGACTGCTGGCTGAGAGCAACTCTCTTGGACTTCTTGTGCAACTCATGGTTACCAGACAGTTACTTTCTGACTCAAATGTCTGATTCATCTCTTCCCCATCCAGACGCTATGAGTTATTTGTGGTTGCCAAAAACAAAGATGATAACCCAATCCTTGTCTCAAAAGAAAGCAGGGGATTTCTCTTTAATACCAAAAAACCAGAAGTAAAAGATGTGGTTCTGATTTGGTAAATCTAAGCAGTAGGTATGGAGTTCTGAAAGAAGGAAGCATGTTTATTATCCTGCAGGGAGGACAGAGTAGAAGGAGATGCAGGGAGGTGCAGGCGTGGTGAGCACTTAGGAAATGCTGTGTGCTGAGCGTTGTCTGAGGTGCTCTTTTCCAGTTGTTTCAGTAAATAAGAATAACAGCAGGATGAGATAGACACTGTCTTTATCCCCATCGTAAGTAATTTGCCCAAGGTAATTCAGATTTCAGATTCCAAACCAAGCACTCTAACTTCCAAGCACATGCCCTTAATTACTGGAATATACAGCTTCTCATAAAAACACATATAATTTCCTTAATGACTAGGACACCTTGCAAGTGAGCAATAACAAGGGAGAGCCAGGAGGCAAGCATAAGTGCAAGGGGGTTGGGGGTAGGGTCCCAGTATAGACAAATTCGTATCATAAATACTTGGTTTTCTACTATTTTTAGTACCAGCTGCCCAAGCCAGTCATCCTGGTTATGTAAAGGGAGATAATCTAGGTGCATTCATGCTTAAGTGAGCTGTCTTTTTTTCAAGCTATTACAGAATACCTTAAGATTTCCAATTACTCACAAAATAGATGATCTAGAGATAATTAACCCAGTCTGAAAGGACAGGTTTGAATCCACCTTGGGTCAGGATCTCAGAGTTAGTACTTAGGAGGTACAAAGTTGGAATTAGCAAGTGAAAGCCAGGAAAAATTATGTATGCTTTCTGTGTGGTTCCTGTGGCCATAGGGAACAGGCTGACAGTACTCCAGAGAGGGATGAGGGGAGAGAAGCAGGATAGTGCAGTGCCAGAGGAACATCAGGAAAGTTCAAACTGAGAAAAGCCCTTCGGGTCTGGTGGTCAGAAGTTGTTACTGGTGTTTGCCAAGGTGATTTCTGTAGAAACCAAATTTCTATGGAAATTGTTAGGAGAACATATTGCCAAAGAAAAGGAGTCAGTTTATAGTAGAGGTAGAGTACCCAGTGTAGCCGTCTCTTTCTACGGACTCTGTCAGTGGGGAGGTCAGAAAGTAGCTAATAGGGTCTCTGACTTCTCATGTGACTGCTGGGAATGCTTATGAAAAAGAGTCAGCCGGGTGCAGTGGCTCATGTCTGTAATCCCAGCACTTTGACAGGCTGAGGTGGGCAGATCATGAGGTCAGGAGTTCGAGACCAGCCCGACTAACATGGTGAAAGCCCATCTCTACTAAAAATATTAAAAAATTAGCTGGGCGCGGTGGAGCGTGCCTGTAATCCCAGCTACTGAGGGGTCCGAGGCAGGAGAATCATTTGAACCCAGGAGGCAGAGGTTGCAGTGAGCCAAGATCATGCCACTGCACTGCAGCCTTGGTGATAGAGCGAGACTCCGTCTCAAAAAAATAGAAAAAGAAAGTCAGCGAGAGGAGCCATAGGAAATGCAGGAAATTACTGTTGTTCTTCAAAAAAAATTGGAAGCTTATACATTTTGTTGTTTTTATGGAGAATTGTCAAAGTCAGTACCTCTAATAATCATTTATCACCTCTCTGCTTTCCCATCATCCAACTGTTAAATGGCCATGGCTGTTACCATTTATGGTGGGGAGAGCAGAAAGACTGCCTATTCATCAGAGTAGGACCGTGCTTTGTGTTGTTATCCACTTAGCCAGTCACTAATATCCTAAAGTTTGTTTTCATGAGAACTTACTAGACTTTTTTGTTTTCTCTACCCCAGTTGAGTGAGATACTCAAATTCGGTTTGGATAAACTGCTGGCCTCTGAAGGGAGCACCGTGGATGAAATAGACCTGGAGGCCATCCTGGGAGAAACAAAAGATGGCCAGTGGACTTCTGATGCCTTGCCTGCAGCAGAAGGAGGGAGCAGAGAGCAAGAGGAAGGAAGTAAGTTGGAGGTTAGAGCAGAGCAAATGGCACAACCACCCCAAGCTAGAGCTCACGTCCCCATGGAAAGCTCTGGATGCTGCTCTCTGGGACATCTTTTTTCTACCCAACCCTACTGTCTTCTTGGGCACACTGTTTAAGACTTGCTTGGTACAAGAACTTTTCCCAGACTAACTGCAGATTTGCATGGGTCTTCCCTTGTAGCTGAACTGTGAACCAAAAATCATAGTGTTAATGTTTATGACACTGTCACTCTTGAGGCTTTGCATTTGTACCTTTTCTCCCTTGGTTGCAAGCATCCTCTCCTTTGTTCATTAGTAAAGCCTCCTGTCCTTGCTGTGATGTTTCACACACAGTGATTCCTCTTCTAAGCGGTGGAATTGTTTGTGTTTTAATTGCAGCTAACATTGAGCACTTACTTTGCATTCACCAACAGAGCAGACTTTGTCATGTGCTTTTCTCCGTTTAACTTTCATAATACACCATGGGCTGTAGGAGATCATTCTGTCTTTCTCTTAATTTTCTTTTCTGAATTTGGTCAACATTTGTCATTTTGTTCTTTTCTATTCTGAGTATTTTAGTTTCTGACTTGTGTACTTTTTCACATGGTAGCTTTGTAAAGGTATTCCCTGGCATCTCAAAGTTACTTTGAAATGACTTGTTTTTCTGTACCAGCTGCAGCAGAGATTCAATATGGACTGGGGGGAGAGGTTTGGGAGTGTTAGGCTTCATTCACCAGTACTTTCTTTCAGTAATAGAGAACAGTGCTGTTTCTTTGCTAGATGGTAGCTGCTTTCTATGTTGAGTAGTAGTGGCATGATTTCTGGTTTTGTAGTTCCCTTTTGTTTCTTTTGGACTGTGAATTCACATCACTTGCTTTGTCTTTCTTTGCCACAGACTTGTCTAAGGATGTCTCCCCACTTCTAAGTTGTCTCTGTCTTCCTGCCAGAAGCAGTGCCTTTCCAAATTCCTGGCTGCGTGTATTTTCATGCCTGCCTTTCCTTTCATTTCCTTAGTAGCCACTGCTCTGATCCACCAGGCCTCAGACCTGTCCTCATTATCTTCCCACTTGGAATGTGACCCTCTTTTGGGGGTGGATTTTATCTGTCTGTCCTTGCTGGATCCCCCTCCCTGCCCACCCTCTCCTCTGCATAGTCTCTGCCTGACTGTCTGCTCTAGTGTAGGCCTTGGAGCTGGCTTGGCTGGTTTTGGAGGTTATTTCTCTAGTTACCGACCATAAGTCGAAGTGTGTAGTATAGTCTGACTTCTAATGTTGTAGTAGGCATGGATTGGGATGGTTTTATTGTCCTCGTTGGTCTGTATAGTTTTTGTGGGAGAGGTGGAAAAGCTGGAATTTGGGCAGCCGGTGTTGTTTTACAGGAAGCTGCTCTTTGACTCTTCTGATATTTTATCTTTACAATTCTTTATGAAATATTCTGTTTATATTCTTCAAGAACTCTTTCTTGTTCTCCACTTATTGTTTTCATTGTACCCTGTTCTCATTTCAAGGACATACTGTCTTCTCTGGGGACATTTATTACAGCTTTTTCATATATATTTTAGGGAGGATATTATCTTTTTAAAAAGTATTTCTCTTCCCACTGCATTGACTTTTACTTATCTTTCTTCCTCTTTTTAAAAAACCAAAACTATATTTATTTATTTATAGAAATTGGCAGATAAAATCATATTTATCATGTACAACATGATTCCTTAAAGCCTGTATACACTGTGGAATCGTTAAATCTAGCTAATGAACACACTTCATATGCTTATCATATTTGTGGTGGTTATGAACATCACTTCATATGGTTATATTTGTGGTGAGAACACTTCACATCCACCCTCTTAGTATTTCTGAGGAATACAATATATCATCATTAGCTATAGTCACTATGGTACCTCTTTTTCTTAAAAAAAAAAAAAAATTGTTTGGGGTCTCTTGTTCTCCTCGATAGTTTCCCTGACCATCTGGTATCCCCTGGCTGTCTGATCACATGTGCTGATGAAGTGCCATAAAGCTGATGGCAGCTCCAGCATGAGCAGGTCCATGGGCCCCGGGGCCTTATTCCTGGTTGATGAGTCAGCTTTTACATGGAGGGCACCTTCCCTGGTATGCATGTTTGAAGTCTTCACTGGGCAACCCATTTTCTCCAAAGACCAATCCTCTAGTATTCTCCCTGGGAGGTTGAGGATGGAGTTCACCTGGTTACTCAGTCTGAAAAGGCAGGATGAGTCAAGGGCTCACTGCTTTGTGGGGTGCAGATCTTTCTCAGTTCTGCCCCGTGCAGTATGCTGCACTTGTAAGCCCTAAGCTCTTGGGGGATTGAGAGGGTCTCTAGACTCATAATGAGCCCTTGGCTAGGCACCTGTGTTTGCTTCCATGGCTCTTCTTAATCTGTTATTATTCCTCCAGCCACTTTTCATTTTCCAAAAGGTCATTGAACTTTTTCATCCACCGTTGCCTTGTATATCTTTTTAAAAATCCCTTTAAGTGTCACTTGGTGGTTTCAGGTGAGAGAAGAAATAGATGCATGTAATCATATTTTTAAGTTACAATTGATTATATTGAGTAGCAACGCTTACACTCGTTTCTGTACTTATCTAGATAATTTCAGCCTATTTTGCTAACGTTTACTAGAACAAAATAAAGTCGCACACTTTTCCAGAAAGATAATTATATTTCTCAGTCAATCCAACTGCCTAAAATAATTTTACTTTTTTAGACAGTCCAACTGCCAGAAAAATTCGCCAGTTGTATTAAACTTGGGGATTTTCTCTTTGAAGAATGGGTATAAGTTCGCTCTGTGGTAAATGATTGTCCTGGTAGAATACAGATACGGGTCCAGGCGGTGGCAGAGTGAAGATAGGGAGCATGATTACAAAGAATATAAATGGATAGGAAAGATTGGTAATTCACGTGGCCCCCATCAGAATTAGATAAAAAACAGGGTTGCTTTATCTTGAATGCCAGGGTTAAAAAGCATGTTTGGAAGTTGAGAATCACATGCAGTATGAAGCTACATATGTTGATCATATCTGACACTTCTCAGCTCTGTTTTTCTTTTACTTGTTGATAAAGTGCTTCATTGAAAGCCCCCTGCTGATTTAATTAGCAACGCCAATTACAACTACAGCTGGTTAGATTTGGGTACAAGTGTGAAGCAATTGATCTCTTGAGAATGAAAATGTTTTGCTTTCATACTCTCTAGGGAAAACATACTTAGCAGATTTCAGAAATGTGAAAATACATTATTTGGTAACTTGTGCTACTAAATATGCTTCCCTGTTGAATCATTACCTTACCTGTCTGTGGTTGCTAGTCTGGACTGGTCCTGACTTTCCTTCATCACTTTATTCATGATCTTGGCAGATCACTCAGCCTCTTTGAGCCTTTGTGTTCTCATCTGTAGAAGGGTCCTGTTAATGTCTACTCTACTCTTTTACACAGTTGGAAAAATCAGACACGATAATAGTTGTGGAAGTGATCTGATAGCACGCAGTGCTATTCAAAATTACACTGTTATCTTCACTGCTGTTGTTATTACAATAATTATTATTTGCTAGCACGTTTTCTCTCCACCCTTCTAGAGACACAGTTACATACTGAAAAGAGCACACTGGCCTTAGAATCAGAAAATCCTGCCTCTTCATTTATTACCAGTGAGAATTATAGAGTCCCTTAATTTCTGCCCAACCCTCAGTTCCCCCTTCCAAAGTAGGATTAGTTATATACCAGGATTGTGGTGAGGATCATGAAGATGCTTGATGAGATCTGTAAGGAATATTGTAAATCCAAGGGATTATTTTTATGATTCTTAGATTTGCCAAGTTGAATACTAAAAGTGTATTTGGAATAAAACGTATAGATTTTATTGGATGATCTTAATGTCACTGAGATTTGTGCTGAGGAATACTTGGGAATGAATGAATGAATGAATGAATGAATGAGGAATAAATGGAGGAATCCGCCAGAGATTCACAAACCATGTAGAGATGAACCAAAAGGATTTAAGCCATGCTGTCCCCTTGGAAGAGTAAACACATGGGATCCTTACGTAGAACCTACTTACTTTAGTGTCAGGGGGATGAGAAACGAAATACCTTCATCCAGTCTTAGCTCATTTAGAATATAGGCTGTTTTCTTATCCACTCTAGTTATTGCTTTGAATAGCATTAATCTGTTTTTCCTTGGTATCTAACACTTCTCTCTTTGTGTTCTATATTGTTAGAAAATCATATGTACTTATTTGAAGGGAAAGATTACTCTAAAGAGCCCAGTAAGGAAGACAGAAAATCATTTGAACAACTGGTAAACCTTCAGAAAACCCTTTTGGAGAAAACCACTCAAGAGGGCCGATCACTCCGAAATAAAGGCAGTGTAAGAACTGTTAATTTATTTAAAAGATCTTCTTCCAAACTCTCGTTCTAAGAAAACAAAACATAAATGATGCTGGCATCATTTTGTTCTCGTAGGTTAACTTGTCAAGAAATAAGTATGTGTTTGTTGAAATGTTAATATAATTAACCATACCCTGGTATAAAAACTATGGTAAAAAGTCAGCATAGAAAAACATTAAGAAGGAGAGAATATATTGTACGATTTAGTGCAGGTGAAAGCAGCCTTGTCCATCCAAATCACCCCTAAAAGCATCCCTATATTATACTAAAGTACCATATCCTGCTGTTGGTAATTATGACCCTATGGCAATAGGAGAGGATATCAATCATAAATGATATATGTAATGTTCACAGTGTTTGGCAGTTAATATGTGCTCATTAAATGCTATTACTAAGATAATCATGATATTAAAATATAGTCTTAACAAAACTATATAATACATTGCAGAAAGGTTTTCATTAAAAATGGCTAAAGTGGCATCCTTCAGGGTATGCTTTCAGTCAAGGAAAAAAGTTACTTTTCTGAAGTAACTTATTCCTAATGAAATGAATCAAAATGACTGTTTCCACCATGTCAGTGCTGCGGCTGAGTTAAGAGCAGGGTATCCTGGTCACTGCCTGTGAACTGTGTAATATGAACTGTGCCTTCAAGTGCTTTGCCTTCAGTTCCCACCATGCAGGGTGGGTGGGTGGAGATGCAGTGTTCTCTGAAATATTAAGCATGTTGCTTCTGTACAGTGTGCTGTGGGGATAATGAAACGTAGGGAGGAACATTCTTGACCCTGGTGATGGATCTTGTTCCTACTCTAGGTTCTCATCCCAGGCCTTGTGGAGGGATCTACCAAAAGGAAGCGGGTTCTGAGCCCTGAAGAGCTGGAGGACAGGCAGAAGAAAAGACAAGAAGCAGCTGCTAAGAGAAGGAGAATCATCGAGGAGAAGAGGAGGCAAAAGGAAGATGCTCAGCATAAGAAAAAGTATGTGTGCATTAACCAAGCTGCGGACCACAGTTGGTAAAAGAGTCCCTCATGTAGTGAGACCACAGTTGAGCATCACTTTAAAAATACAGAAGATTTCTTTTAAGCTTGTTCCTATTGGTAACAGGATACTTTTTAAATGCTTACTGTAAGTGAAAAGTCCCAAGTGCGTGAGGCAGGGAAGATGGATTCCATTGAAACTAGAATTTTTTAAATTTTTTTGAGATGGATTCTTGCTCTGTCACCCAGGCTGGAGTACAGTGGGTACGGTTGCTGCTCGCTGCAGCCTCAACCTCCCATGCTCCAGTGATCTACCCTCCATAACCTCCCTAGTAGCCGGGACCACAGGTGTGTGCTGTCATGGGTGGCTAATTTTTTTATTATTTGTAGAGACAGTCTCATTTTGTTGCCCAGGCTTGCCTCAAGCTCCTGAACCCAAGCTATCTTTCTGCCTTGACCTCCAAAGTGCTGGGAGGTTACTGGCCAAAACCTGGCCAAAACCAGAAAAGTTTAAGATTTTATGGTAGCTGTGTGACACAGAGTAGTTTACTTGAATAGTCTCTTTTAGTGATATTCTTAAAAACAGGAACATTCAGTGAGTGCACATTATTGGATTGTAGTCAGGAAGCAGTTGGCCTAGTCAGTAAGTCTTGTTTATTTACAAAAAAGCAGACAACTTCAATAAGGGTAAGTTTCTAATAGCATTTCTACTTGGCAGGTACTGTTTGTGAACAGCAGTATGAAATGTGCTCCAAGGGAGATTGTGTTTGTCTGGGTTAATTTCCTTTTCTCTCTGGCCTGCTAAAGGATGGCCTGGTGGGAATCCAACAACTACCAGTCCTTCTGCCTGCCCTCTGAGGAGAGCGAGCCAGAGGACCTTGAGAATGGGGAAGATGAGAGTTCTGCTGAGCTGGATTACCAAGACCCAGACGCTACCTCCCTCATGTACGTTAGTGGTGATGTCACCCACCCTCAGGCTGGGGTTGAGGATGCTCTCATCGTGCACTGCGTAGGTAAGAGAAGTGGTATGGCTGGGGTTGTGGGCCTCAGTCCTTATGGTGCCAAGCACTGGGGCAGATGGGGCAGAAGCCTGACCCACTGGGACCAGGGGTGATGGTCCCAGTGTAGTATTGTGTGGTCAAAAAAGTGTGAATGTTAGAGTCAGGAACATTCCAGAATCATTTCACTCTTGGCTGTCTCATTTACCTGGTTTAGTTATCTAATCTCTCAACTTTAACTTTCTTATTTATATAGTGGGATAATACCTGCCTTATCCTCTGCACAAGGTTTTTAAGAGGGTGGAAGGAAGCGACATTGAAAAGACAAATCCTTTGAGAAAAAATAAAACGTCAAGCTTGTTCCCTTGCTTGACCTTTGTACTTTTTACTTCATCTGCCTAAAACTCTCTTCCCAAATAACCACATCAAGTGTCATTCCAATGTCCGTTTCTCAGAGAGGTAGTCTGTGATCACCTCATATACAACAGGCCCCATCCTCCCTCTGTTATTCCCTGTCCCTTCTCCCATATTTTCCTTTATCACACCTGTCCCACCTCACATATTACCTACATATTTGTTTATTTGACTGTTGAATTAAAAGTATGCTTCTTGGAAGCAGGGGATTTTTTGTTGTTGACTGCTGTGACTCTGGTGTCTAGAACAATGCCTGACACATAATACAAGCTAAAAAACATTTGTAGTATGAATAAATGGCTGTACATACTAAGATACTAAGCAGCTTTATTAATACCAGCTTGAATAAGTCATTTCACCTTTCCTCTTCCCTGCCTGTGTGCTGCTGCACCAGTGCTTCTCACTCTGCAGCATTCCGTCTATTCTCCATCCTTCCACAGTCACTTCCCAGGAATCACAGACGCGCCACAGAGATTTCGCTCATTCAGAACACTAATTTTTGAGATGCTTTCCTGTTATGATGGCCCCAGGTATATCTTCCAGAAAACATAACCATATTTGGGAAGTCAACCTGTGATATTCCTAGGAGATCAGATATTTTGTTTTTTTCCCTTTGAAAAAATCATTCTTCCACAAGTCCTTTTGTGTGCCTTTGTTTTTCTAAATTGTGGACTGGACTGAAAATTTTCTGTTTCTTCAATCAGATGACTCTGGCCACTGGGGCAGAGGTGGTTTATTTACAGCTCTGGAAAAACGATCCGCTGAGCCAAGAAAAATATATGAGCTGGCTGGGAAAATGAAAGGTGAGAAGCAAAGCAGAAGGAGGGGTTAGGGATGGAATAAGAGAGGACGCTTAGTCTCATGAGGGTTACACAGCACTAGATAAGAAATCAGAATAACCGGGTGGGAACTGAATTCTGTCGTAAATTAGCTACTTGTTCTGTGACTTCAAGGCATTCCCTTACCTTTTCTGTACCTATTTCCTCATCTGTGATTTGTGAATAATACTTGTTCTACCTACTTCATGGAACTGAAGTGAGCATAATGAATGTGTGCATTCTGAAAAGCCCTGCATACATGGTAAAGTCTTGGAATGGGCCGGACACAGTGGCCTTTGCTTGTAATCCTAGACTTTGAGAGGCTGAGGCAGGAGGACTGCTTGAGACCAGGAGTTTGAGATCAGCTTGGGCAACATAGTGAGACTCTGTCTCTACAAAAAATTTAAAAATCAGCTGGGTGTGGTGGTGCACGCCTGTAGTCCCAGCTACTCAGGAGGCTGAGGTGGGAGGATCACTTGAGCCCAAGAGGTTGAGGTTGCAGTGAGCTGTAACTGTGCCACTACACTACAGCTTGAGTGAGAGTGAGACCCTATTTCATTCAAAAGAAAAAGTATTGAAATAAAGATGAAGGAATATCTCATGAAAACATTAAAGACCTGTGGGAGGCTGGACGTGGTGGCTCAAACCTGTAATCCCAGCACTTTGGAAGGCCAAGACGAGACAAGGAATTCTAAACCAGCCTCACCAACATGGCGAAACCCTGTCTGTACCCAAAAAAAAAAAAAAAAAAAAAAAAAAATACAAGAATTAGCCAGGCATGGTGGCACATGCCTATAATCCTAGCTACTGGGAAGGCTGAGGCACAAGAATCACTTGAACCTGGGAGGTAGAGGTTTCAGTGAGCTGAGATCACACCATTGCTCTCCATCCTGAGTGACAGAGCAAGACTTTGTCTCAAGAAAAAGACCTATGGGAGAGAAATTGGACACACCATTAAAATGCTGACCAGAGCTCGGGATTGGTGCTGAGGGGAATGAAGATGTGTTATGAGGTCAGCACAGCCTGGGTTATAACACTCCCTGGAGACAGAAATAAAGCTCTTTGGTGCCAGGGGAACGTAGAAGCCTGAACAGTGTTTTCCCTTGGCACAGAGAAGGGAAAAAGACACCTCCTTTTACATCCAGAAATAAAGTGGCAAGAGGAACAAAATTATTATTGTGGTCATTTTCTGGAGACTGAAGGACCTTGTCTGATAGAGAAGGGTCCTTCAGATTCCTTAGAGGTTGGTTTTTCCTAATCCTGCCCAGTTCTATATGGTAGAAAGGGAGGTAAGAACGTAAAGAGTGAGTACTTTTTCTAGTAAAACACGTTAATGAAGAAGGATTTAATGTGTGTCAAAATAGTCCAGATCTAGATGCTGATTGGGCAGTTGGCAAAGCAGAACCCTAGAGCTGGAGGTGCAGATTAAGGAGTTCCTGTTTGGAGTCTGTGTTTGAAACCATGTGAGAGGGAGGATGGAGAAACGAGAGGCAAAGAACAGACCTGGAAAAGACCTCTGCTTAGTCCTTGAGGCAAAAAGATGGAATTTTGACAGAAAGAATTGCCAGAAAATAAGGAAACCTTGTGCAGTATTTTGAGGTACAAGGGAAGAAAGTCTGTCAAGAAGGCAAAGTTCATGGTATTCTGTCTCATGAGGGTGAATTGGGAAAAGGTCATGGATTTAAACCAAGGACACTCACATGACCTTGGAGACTTTGTGGAGAGTGGGAAGCTCAGACTTAAGGCCCGAATGCTCAGTAAGGACATGGAGATGGGAGTGTGCAGTTTTCTCAGAAGAAGGATTGAAGCAGGTTGCAGCCAAGTAGATGAAGCTGTGGACTAGAATTCCCTGGGAAGGCTTCATGGAAGTTATGAAAGTTGTCTTGGGCCTGGAAAGGTGGGTTGAATTTAAATAGGTGGAGAGAAATGGCAAATGGGTTCCCAACTGCTCATTACAACACCTACTGTTCACCGTCTGTGGGTATTGAAGGACCCAGGCACCCCGTTTCTCTGTGTGAAGGATGGTGTACAGACCAGGCAGGCCAGAGTGGAAGGTTCAGGCAGAAGAATAGAGGAGAGTTTCGTTGTCACCAGAGGCTCGGGCCACATCATAGGAGACCGCACAGGATTTGTCCAGGGAGATACCATTCTAAGCAGAACCTTATCTAATGGAATGGGTAATGACTGGTCATTTGGGGGATTTGATCAAAAGGATGGCAAAGCACAACAATATTTTAGAATGACTGAACAAAAAGTTCAAACTGTTATCAACCTAACCAATAGATAGGCTCTGTAAAATAAGATGAACATCGGTTGATTTCTTGTGTTTGTGTGTGTTTTTTTTTTAATTTATTTTTGAGACAGAGTCTCACTGTCTGGAGTACAATGGCACGATCTTGGCTCACTGCCATCTCCACCTCCCAGGCTCAGGTGATCTTCCTGCCTCAGCCTCCCATGTAGCTTGGACCACAGGCCCACACCAACACGCTTGGCTACTTTTTTGGATTTTTGGTAGAGAGTTTTGCCATGTTACCCAGGCTGGCCTGGAACTCCAGAGCTCAAGTGATCCACCTCAGCCTCCTCAAGCGCTAGAATGACAGGCATAAGCCACTGTACCAAGTCTGAGGTTTTTAAGGAGAATGAGAAAGATTACTTACTTGTTTTGAATCAATTGTCTTTGACTACAAGGATTAGTAACAAGAGTGGCACCAGTCTGAGGTTGGGTGGCAGTTAATGAGCAGATGTCCTTGCAGAAGATTATTTTTATGTAAGGTGGTCAGCGCCGTTGTGCACGGTTGTGTTTTTGTGAATCTTTTGGGATAGTTGTTATCAGGCATTCATGCATTAGCACCTTCCCTTCATGGCTTTCCCTGGCTCCGTTTGTCGCAGTTTTGTTTTATTTTTCGAGGCAGGGTCTCTTCCTGTCAGGCTGGAGTGCATTGGCGTGATCCTAGCTCACCGCAGCCTCTAACTCCTTTGCTCAAGAGATCCTCCTGCCTCAGCCTCCCAAGTAGCTAAAACTACAGGTACACACCACCAAACCCAACTAATTTTTTCTTATGTTTTGTAGAGACTGGGTCTTGCCTTGTTGCCCAGGTTAGTCTGGGAACCCTGGCTTCCGGCAGTCCTCCCGTCTCAGCCTCCTAAGGCACTGGGATTACAGGTGTGAGTCACTGTGCTCAGCCATATTTGTCTGAGTTTTTAACACAAGCATCTCTATTTTGATTCTTACTGCTTTCACATCAGCTTATGTAAAGCCATAGAATTAAATTAGCATATTTTTCTTCATTATCAGTTTTATTTTATTTGGATGGGGTAGAAAAATATATTATACAAACAGATATAGATAAAGTAGAATGTCATAATGTGTATGGTTTAAGACAAGCACAAAACTTCCAAAGGAGTTTCAAGCTCTTAATGCTCCCTCCTCTAAGCCCCCAGCTACCTCGGGGTATCATGTTCATTTTCTGATGTCTACAGAGGTACTTTGTTGGTATCGTCTGAGGAGCATTAAATTAGGAGATCATAAAATTCAGGAGTGAAGCAGGTGAGTACCCAGCTAAGGTATTGACTGAAGCCAGGAAGGTGAGAAAGCGCTATGAAGGAAGGTGGGTTCTGAAACCTAACTGATTGAAAAAGGCAAGATAAAGGAGGATTCTTTCCTTGGTGAACCTGGTATTCTTTATGATGCTCCTTTCTGTTTTACCACAGACTTGAGTTTGGGAGGTGTCCTTTTATTTCCTATTGATGATAAAGAGTCAAGAAACAAAGGGCAAGATTTGGTGAGTAAAAACCCCCATCTCTTTTCAGAACTAAAAGTGGACTCCCATCAACTTCCCTTGAAGCATCTCCTGCCTCCATTGGCCTCTCTACTAGTGTATTAGATTATTAGGGCTGCCATAACAAAAAGCCACAGACTGGGTAGCTTACACAGCAGAAATGTCTTTCCTCACAATTCTGGAGGCTGAAAGTCCAAGATCAAGGTGTCAGCAGGTTTGGTTTTTCCCAAGGACTCTTTCCTTGGCCTGCAGATGGTGGTCCTCTTGCTGCTCATGCATATCCCTGCTATCTGTGTGTCCAGATTTTCCTTCTTATAAGGATTCCACTCAGAATGGATCAGGCCTCACCCTAACACCCTTATTTTAACTTTATCACCCCTTTAAAGACCCTGTCTCTAAATAAAGTCACATGAGGTACCAGGGGTTAGGGCTTCAATATACGAGTTTGGGGGGACACCGTTCAGCCCATAACAAGTAGTTTGGGCTGTAGCCTCCACTGCACTTTCCCTGTCCCCACCCTTCCATTCATTCGTCCCTGGAGCACTGTCCAGACAGCAGACTCTGCCTAAGTACAAGCGTTTCTATTTGTCTTTTTATCCTCACTACCCCACATAGTACTGGCTCATAAGAAATGCTCCAAAAAAAAAAAAAGAAATGCTCCATAAATATTTACTGCATGAGTAAGAAAGCATGACTCAAAACTCTGAGGGTTGCATTTTGTATCATGTGAAAATTTCTATGAAAAACTGTTTTCCAGTCAGCCATAATGAAGCAGGGGAGAGACACTAATCCATACGTCCTCTGCCCACATCAGAGTCCCTTTGCATCTTAGGCACATCTCTCCTGCTTACCTGCCATTTGGGATGCTTGTAGTGGGTTTGATTTACCACACCTACCTGGCTTTCTCCAAGACCTGGATTCATTTTCAAATTTTAAGCCAGAATTAAGAAGAAATTTCAAAACCAGGCTAAAAGAGAGGCTCAACCTCTTGAGGTTGCTGGTCTGTGTAACTGTGTTAGGCTGTTTTTATGTTGTTACAAAAGAATTTCCTGAGACTGGGTAATTTATAAAGAAAAGAGATTTATTTGCTCATGGTTCTACATGCTGTACAGGAAGCATGGTACTGGCATTTGCTCCTGGTGGGGGCTTCAGGAAGCTTACAGTCATGGCAGAAGGCAAAGGGGAAGCTAGTGTATCACACATGGCAAGAACAGGAAGAAGACAGAGTAGGGGACGGTACCACGCTGCTTTAAATAACTAGATCTCAAGTGAACTTTACCAGAGCAAGAATTCATCACCAAGGGTTATGGCAACGGTATGGCACTAAGCCATTCGTGAGGATTCCACCCTGTGATCCAATGCCTCCCACTAGGCCCCACCTCCAACACTGGGGTTTACATCCCAACATGAGATTTGGAGGGGACACACATCCAGACTACACAGTGACTAACAACGAAGTGGTTTCTGTTGAGTCATTCCTTCAGTAATTTCTAAAATGCTAAAAAAGAACAGCAAAGTGTCTGTGCATGAGAAACTCAGGATCCAATGGTTCAGGATGAGTGTTTACAGCGAGTAGAGCACCATGTCTACGATATGACTGGTGATGTCATCCCAGAAGCTCCCTTGACATGACCCAGGTCCACTTAGGTTACGTTGGTTGACAGATACTTAGCATTTCATCCTCATGGGAAGCATTTGAGCAGAGACGGAGTGACTGCTTGTCCTGGGGGTTGTGGAGCTGACTCAGGCATCAAAGGACTGGAATACAGGAACCTCCAGGATCTTTTCCATGACTACAATTCAGAAAAGTTCTTTTTTTTTTTATCCTTGAGAGACGTTGGAAAGTATGTGTTTTGGACTCGTTCTCTGGTTCTAATATATTTTTAAAAGAAGAAGAAAAGATTATATAAAGTGACCACAAAGTAATCATTAATGATGGGACGTGAAGTCTTACATACAGTAGGACGTTGCTGTTTAGGCACAGCATCTGAAAGAGACGAAGCCAAGCCCAAGTGACCCCTCAAGGGCTGTGCCCCTCCGTGGCCTTCACTTGGCTGACAGTGTGGCTGTCTCATGTTGGGTTGGTCATCTAATGGCGGTTCTTTCCAGTTGGCCTTGATTGTGGCCCAGCATCGTGATCGCTCCAATGTCCTATCTGGCATTAAGATGGCGGCCCTAGAAGATGGCCTCAAGAAGATATTTTTAGCAGCAAAGAAGAAGAAAGGTAAGTTCTTCCACCTGTGCTCAAGAGTAGATGAATTTGTTTCTAGGCATGTGATAAGACTTTTGAAAGAAGGGGAGAAATGTCAAGACCCCACTTAATATGCACGGTAAAGGCAAACCACAGAAGTGATCACCCCACCATCTTGTATATATAGCCCCTTTTCCTTTCCAAAACACTCGTAACATCTGTAATCTCTGTAGGCTGTATCCATCCCCTGGGTATTTTTATTATGATTTTACAGATGAGGAAGCAGAGGGCTAGAAATGAAGCAACTTGATCATATGCAATTGATACATGCTGTTTATTTAATCTCCTCTTAGAGCCACAGTCCACAATAACAGACAGTTGTCTGACAAAAATGAATTTAACTTTGTTTCCAAACCTAGTGTCTCAAGAGTTTATTGGATTGATTGGCTTGTTAGAGAATCTTTGCTTATTTTAATTTTCCTCCACCAGTTATAATCTATGTCCATTGTACGTATTTCCAGAACTTCTGTTCAACAGAATAATTTGTTTTTTCTTACTACAATTCTTCCCCAGAATATTTTTAAATTATAATTGTGTGCTTTGAGTGGGACAGTCAATAATTATTTTCTCCAATGTATGTTTTATAACCATCAATCAATTTTTGATGAGTGAAGACATCTGTTCTTTTCTTCATAACAGCAAGTGTTCATCTTCCACGGATTGGACATGCCACGAAAGGTTTTAACTGGTATGGTACTGAGCGACTTATTCGGAAACATCTGGCTGCAAGAGGCATCCCAACTTACATGTATCCTTTTGTGGTCTTAATTGTGCGTTCTCCCAACCCAAGAGGGGAAAATTGGCTGGTGTCACTATTTAATCCAAGGCCAAGTTTCTTCCTGCCACAGTCTTTACTGTGCCCCTCTTCAGTGAGACAAAATAAGACGTACTTTCTAACTTGTGTATATCAAATATGTACACCCAACAACATAAACACATCCAAGCATTTCTGGATGCCAGTAGATAAATTAAAAGATACATAAAGGGGAGAATTAATTGACTAATTGTTATTTGGTAACATTGAATCTTTCACATCACTTCTGACAGATCCTTCAGGCCTTGAAATAAGGTTTAATTCTCAGAACTTCACTATTATTTTAATGAATAGGTAAGCAAACAAATATTTTATTTCTGAACCTTTTTGATGTGTTATTAGAAGGCAGTATGAAATTATTTTAACCGTGAAGTCATGATCTCCTTTAGCTAGACTAGTGTTTTCTTCTAATGACCTCCGTGCTGTATAGGTTAGAATATTTTCAGCTATTATAACGGGTCCCAAAAGTACTACAAAAAAGCAGAATTGACCCCCCTAAGTGCTATAATTGCACAGGAACTTCATCTTTTTACAGAGATATTTGACTGAAATTCACTCAGTGATGGGCTTCATTTTTATTATACTTCAAGTTCTGGGGTACATGTGCAGAACATGCAGGTTTGTTACGTAGGTATACTCATGCCATGGTGGTTTGCTGTATCCAATACCCTGTCATCTACATTAGATATTTCTCCTAATGCTATCCCTCCCCTATCCCTCCATCCCTGGCTATCCCTCCCCTAGCCCCCTACCCCCTGACAGAACCTGGTGTGTGATGTTCCCCTCACTGTGTCCATGTGTTCTCATTGTTCAACACCGACTTATGAGTGAGAACATGGGGTGTTTGGTTTTCTGTTTTTGTGTCAGTTTGCTGAGAATGATGGTTTCCAGCTTTATCCATGTCCCTACAAAGACATGAACTCAGACTTTTTTATGGCTGCTTAGTATTTCATGCTATATGTATGCCACATTTTTTTTATCCAGTCTGTCATTCATAGGCATTTGGGTTGATTCCAAGTTTTTACTGTTGTGAACAGTGCCACAAACATGTGCATGTATCTTTATAATAGCATGATTTGTAATCCTTTGGGTATATCCAGTAATGGGATTGCTGGGTCAAATGGAAGTTGTATTTCTAGATCCTTGAGGAATTGTCAAACTGTCTTCCACAGTGGTTGAACTAATTTACACTCCCACCAACAGTGTAAAAGTGTTCCTATTTCTCCACATCCTCTCCAGCATTTGTTGTCTCCTGATTTTTCAATGATCTCTATTCTAACTGGCGTGAGATGGTATCTCAATGTGGTTTTGCTTTGCATTTCTCTAATGACCAGTGATGGTGAGCTTTTTTTCATGTTTGTTGCCTCCATAAATGTCTTTTTTGGGGAAGTGTCTGTTCATGTTCTTTGCTCAATTTTTGATGAGGTTGTTTGTTTTTTTCTTGTAAATTTGTTTACGTTCCTTGTAGATTCTGGATATTAGCCCTTTGTCAGATAGATAGATTGTAAAAATTTTCTTTCATTTTGTATGTTGCCTGTTCACTCTGATGATAGTTTCTTTTAGTTCAATTGGATCTCATTTGTCAATTTTGGCTTTTGTTGCCCTTGCTTTTTGTGTTTCAGTCATGAAGTCTTTGCCCATGCCTGTGTCCTGAATTACCATTGCTAAGGTCTTCTTCTAGGGTTTTTGTGGTTTTAGGTCTTACACGTTTAAATCTTTAATCCATCTTGAGTTAACTTTTGTATAACATGTAAGGAAGGGATCCAGTTTCAGTTTTCTACATACAGCTAGCCAGTTTTTCCAACACCATTTGTTAAATAGGGAGTCATTTCCCCATTGCCTGTTTTTGTTAGGTTTGTCAAAGATCAGATGGTTGTAGATGTATGGTGTTACTACTGAGGCCTCAGTTCTGTTCCCTTGGTTTGTATCTCTGTTTTG